GGACCACAAACTCGAAATTGGACCTCGTTCATCGAAGCTATCACTGCTGACGGCCGCGCCTTGACTCCTGGCATAATCTTCAAGGGGAAAGAACTCCAAAAACAGTGGTTTCTTGATGAATTCAAGAAGATAGCCGACTGGCATTACATAACTTCACCTAACGGGTGGACTGACGACCACATTGGCGTTGAATGGCTTGAAAGAGTCTATCTGCCCCAGACCATGCCTGCCGACGACTCTGACGCGAGACTAATCATTTTAGATGGTCATGGGAGTCATGCCACAGTATGTTCTTCGTTTTCTTCAGCTCAAGGTCACTACTGAGCGACGGAAGGATGAATGGATTGCCACGTGCTTTTTGAACAACGTTTATTGTTGCTATCTGCCAGCACACTGCTCTCATGGGCTCCAGCCGTTGGACAATGGAGTATTCAATGCCTCCAAAGCCGCATATCGACGAGAGTTGGAAAAGTTCGCTTCATTGACTGATTCTGCTCCGATGGATAAGGTCAATTTCATCAGAGCCTACGCCAAGGCTCGTGAAGCGGGAATGACGAAGAAGAATATACTCTCCGGCTGGAGAGTTACTGGCAATTGGCCGATTTCACGTGCCAAAGCTCTGCGGCACCCAGAAATCCAAGGGGATAAGCCGAATGACAGCCCAAGGAGGACTCCAGAGCGGGCGCCGTATTTTGGCTCGGACGATACACCAAAAACCAGCCGCCAAATTCGCGATCTTGGGCTAAACAAAACACCAAAGACACGGAGACGATACAACGTGATAGCCAAAGGCTTTGAGACTCAACAACAGACGTTAATAGCGCATAGCGTGAAGATTGCTAGTCTGGAGGAGGAACTGGCCCGTCTGAAGAGAGGGAAGAAGAGGAAGGCAGTTCCGAATCCCAATAAACGGTTTATGACTCTTAGCGAGGCTCTAGCCTCTGGAGAAGCGATTACCGAAAAAGGAAGCGAAAGGAAGCACGTTGTGGCGAATTATAGCTCTTCCGGGGAGTCAGGGTCAGAATCGGAGGCTGCTTCGGTAATTGAAGTCGGAGAAGAAATCGTACCACCTCAGCGCACCACCCGGTCGGGGAGGCTGATAAAACGGCCTAAAAATCAATAGATACATCAATTGTAGGTTTACACCAAGCAACCATTTGCAAATAGCTTTTATTCTGGTCAAGCTGCGTGTAAATGAAAGTGTTGAGTTTTGGTGGGGGAATTTTTTTTTTGCCTGACGAAAGGGTGGGGTTGTCGAAAGGGTGGTGGCGTATGGTAGGCTTCAAGCTAGTTCGCCGTTAACACTACTAACCCATGGGAACCCGCAGAGAAGAAGGAACATGCGATAGGCAAGGAAGTATAAGCAACAAGAGGACTCAATATGGGCTGAAGGAGACCATGACACAATTTGGGCAATGTATATGTATTTTAGTAATTAGTGTCCTTTCGGCTCTGGTGCCGCCGGGCGTAATAAATTGTATTGTATTGTATTATAGCCACATATCTTTCTCGCCCTATTCTCGATGTCTCACACCTGCGTGGGCCACCACACCGGCTCCTCGGCAATGAACTTGAGGCGACGGCGGCGGAGCTACGACCTCCGCACCGTCGATGAGGGACCCGAGCGCGGCCATCAACGGCGTCCTGGTCTGCGTGGACTACTGCTGCGACTGTGACGACGACTTTGGTTACTGCACCCGCTGGCTGCCTCAGATGCAGGGCCATATGCCCATGTAAGGGAGGAAGGCAAAGGAGTATAAGGTGCGGGCCCCGTGGCGGGAGGGCAAGTTGTAGACGTACTCTATAATAGCGGGCCTGACCTAAATATACCATGCCCCACCACCCTTTCGGACGCACCACCCTTTGGGACTAACAACTGAGGCCGTTCCCACCAAAAAACCACCAATTGAATTGACCAGGTACCTAATCAATTTTGAGGTTATACACAAACGAAATATACCATTCCGTAGAGAATTGACTCCTCTATTCGTATCGTCGCTTTTTGACGACCCTACCCGACCTGGTGGTGATTTGAGGCGACTCCAGCACCGTCCCGACTTGAATTGTTGAAGCCATCTCCACGTCTGATTCCGCCTCCTCCTCCGAGTCAAGTTCCACCACAATAGTCAATCCGCCGTCTACAACTTCCGGAATCCCTTCATCTTGGGCCAGAGCCTCGCTGAGGGCAATGAATCGCCTATTCGGGTTCGGTATGGCCCTTCTCTTCTTTCCTCTTTCCAACCGGGCTACCTTCTCCTGCAGGCTGGCAATTTGGACTTTGTGGGCCGCAATGAGTTGTCCTTGGGCTTCAAAGCCTTTGGCTATAATGTTATATCGTCGTCGAGTGCTAGGGGTTTTGCCTTTGCCCAAATCACGGATTTGACGCCCGACTTTTGGTGTATCGTCTGAGCCCAAATAAGGACTAGATTCTGGAGGCCCACTCTCTGGCCTCTCTGCCTTGTCTTATTGAATTTCTGGATGCCTCAATGCCTTAGCCCTGGAGACTGGCCAATTCCCAGTTACTCTCCAGCTGGATAATACATTCTTTGGGGTCATCCCGATCTCCCGTGCCTTGGCATAAGTCCGTATAAAATTGACTTTGTCAACAGGTGCGGAATCCGTGAGAGAAGTCAACTTATCAAGCTCTTTTCGATATGCCGTCTTCATGGCATTAAAAACTCCATTATCCAATGGTTGGAGGCCATGAGAACAGTGGGCAGGGAGATAACAACAATAGATGTTATTCAAAAAGCACAAGGTCATCCACTCGTCCTACCACTTTATGTTAACATTGACCTTTGGGAATAGAAGTGACGAACGTACCGTTGCATGACTTCCATGGCCGTCCATGATGATAAGTCTGGCGTCAGAGGCATCTGCAGGCTTAGTCTGTGGCATATACACCTCTTCGAGCCACCTAACGGCGATGTGGTTGTCCGTCCACCCGTTGGATGAGGTTATATAATGCCAATCAGCTATTTTCCGAAACTCGTTCAAAAACCACTGCGATTGGAGCTCCTTGCCCTTAAAAATGATGCCAGGCCTAAGAGCACGCCCGTCTGCGGTGATAGCCTCAATGAATGAGGTCCAGGTACGGGATTGGGAGCCCTTAAGAAATGCCTTCTTCTTAGGCTCTGCACTTCCAACCACCAAACTGTCCAGGCCTAATGGAATCAATCTGATCAGTTACATCCATGAATAAAGGCATGAATACCCACCAAAACCGGACATAATACCTCCCTCGTCCATGTTAACGGTGTTCTCCGGTTTGATCCATCCATATTCCTTTTCTTGTGAGGGAACGATCATGTGACTTTCATACTTTATGAATAGTCTCACTTTATGAATATTGTGTAAATAGCTTAAGTCAGAGCTTTCCTTAGGAATCTCTTTCTCTCCTTGTAAACAATCATTTTGCCCAAGTCGCACTCGACCTCGTTCGTGCTCTTGTCCCGTCACATTTCTCGGATATCAAAGTACCAGTTCACGGCTTTGGGAGTGAATGAGTCAAACCTGTTGGCTTCTTGACGTCTTCCACGCTTGGTCTTGATCTCTGGATAACGTTTGATGAATCTGGCTACCCAGTTGGCCCCCAATATCCCCTTGTCATTTTGTTGATTCAGGAGGGCCACGACACAGGCACGAATCTGACTGTGAGAGGGAGCATAACCCAAAGACTCTTGACGAAGAATCCAGGAGACTAAATGAGCTTCTTGATTCTTGGAGAGACGTGCTTTTAGCTGAATCTGATCGGCTAAGGCACCTTGTCCGTTGAGTCTATTGGAGACGGTCTGCTTTGGCACTCCCCACTTCTGACAAGCCTTGGTGAGGGATAGATGCTTGTTTGTGACGTCTGATATAGCGTTAGCAATAGCTTCTTCTGAATAAACGTGTCGAGGCCTTTTACGAGTCATTTTGATGACGTTGTTGAAGATTGAGAGAAAGAGAGTTGAGTGAATTCAGGAGGAAATTTGGTGGCTGTCAGCCAATATTGCACTACAGGGGTGCGCACATTCCCCAGTGTTCCAATCAACCAAACAAATTGCGTATAATGATCTTCAGTCATTTTCATAATCGTTGAAGGTGACGGCTTGCGAATAACTTCAAAATTGAGCCTAATCTCTATAAGTGATGTGGTTGAGTTTTATATGGGCTGGTGGATTTTTTGCTGTCCCAAAGGGTGATGCGTCCGAAAGGGTGGTGGGGCATGGTAAGGAAGTAAATGCATCCTGAGTCCTGCTTTCGCTCCTCAAAGGCCTCCATCCGACAGCCAGCACTAAAATAGGGGCTGCGTGTTCGATGAGACTGGTGCCGGCAGAAGACAGCAGCATACTTACATTTTCACAGACCAGGCCGCCAATGCTGTGAGCGACGAAGATTATGGGACGCTTTGTCTGTGTTGGCATTTAGTGGCGGGAGTCCAGGAAGCTCTGTGCACATTAGGAGCAATACCGTTTCCATTTTAAATCGTTCCTCTCCAGTTCTCCAGTACTCAGACTAAACTAAATGGCCGACGTTCTCTTCCAGGTCTGTAAGTTTGTAATGTTAAACAAAATTAAAATAGGCAAAATTATGCTAGTAATAAAGCCTCCTTCTGTTTTAAGAATGACACGATTGTTTTGTCACTCGGCGCTTTACAATGTGACGCCGTAAGCAGGCCCGCCAGAAACAATAGGAGAAGGGGAAGGGCTAAGGGATTTCGGGATGTAGGTCTCGAAATAACGGCGGCGCCTTGATACCGAACCACGCCGATGTGACTATATCTTGCTTTGCCCGGTGGTCTAAGAAGGGGCTGTATAGCTTCTGTTCTAGATGTAGCCATTGAGGAGCATAACGTTCTTGGTTCTTAATGTGAGACTCACGGGAGTTCATTCCAGTCACGGATTGTGCTGTAAAGGGTTTTCCACTAGTGACTATATTAACGAAGGGCCCCAGCCCAGTTCCAGAATTTGATAGCACAGTGAGTATTTAGGAACTTTCAATAAAAAACTTCTGATCTATGAATAATAATGCACATTTCTACTACCTCAGCCCTCATACGTAAAATAACCCTTTCTTGATCTCGCTAGCATCATTTAGCGTTTCAATAAAATGTTCGCTCTGCTGAAGAATGCAGCCCAAAGGTAGATAACCGCATTAATGCAGATCTAAATAACAGTCAAGTACATTAATTTATAATATCGGAGGTTCCGTACTTGCCCCCGAGACAATGCTAGGACTAGGCAAGCTCTGAAGCGATGTTCTGGAGGAGATTGATGCCGCCGAGAGTATTCTGTGTATATCGCGAATTGAAATTTACCACGCTCTTCACCTTATTATAAGTGAATTCGTCGATATGAAGCGGTTTGGTGCTGATTATCCACTCGACAGATTCTGAGCAGGGAGGAGTGGTAAGAGAGCCAGAGTAACTATGTCGAGTTAGATTTGCTGTCTGCATGTAGGTCTAGGGGCTGGTTTTATTCATACTGGTAGATGGGGTTCGATGTCAAATGATGTTCCAGACCAGTAAATATCAGGGGCCCTGTGAGGGTAGCCTGGCCTGGCGTCGCAGCACCGCTGACGTAGGTAAAGACGGATGCCAGCAGAGGGTCGGCAAGTCCTAGGGCGATTGGGAAGGCCACGACTGCAATGGACTTGTCTGTTAGGACCTGTCAGCAATGCCAAAGATGGAAGGGGATCAGGACCGCTTTGGTCAAGGTATAGGGCTTGCCTTTTGCCTGGAAGACAAAGTGTGCCTCCATTGGGAAGTACTCAAGTTCAGCGCGGTGTTCGCTAGGGGTGTGGAAGTGGAACTGGGCCAGACTATAAGTCCTACCGCCAGCAGTGAGCGTGCCGTTAGCCGGCACTTCTACTGTGGTACCCAGATTTTCGAATTTAGAGCCATGGGGGTAGTTGTCCACCTTGAAGGCAGCAACCTTGCCTGGTGACACGGGGATAGACGCGTTGAGATTGATGGGGGACTGGTTGCGGCCCTTGGCGCAGAGCTTGTTGGCAGTCTTGTTGAGGCCGTACCAGTTCAACGGTCCGTTCAGTCCTGTGTAGCCAAAGGCACCAACGGGGACATTGGCCTCGCGAGGGAAGAAGCTCGTCCCATAATTACAAGCCGCGACGGCAGCACCAGCCAAGGCGAGAAGCGAGGCTGCAGTGGAGGTGAATTGGACCATGTTGAAGAAGACAGAGACAGTATGGGTAATATAATCATGCGAAGAGCCAGCAAATACCTCGCCGTTTGTAAAGTGAAAGAGGTCCTGGAAGCGGATGGGTTGTGCTATCAGCCAGCCCTTTATATAAACTACCGCTCCAGGCCCGGCTCAACTGACTAGAGTATCCTAGGCCGGCAGCTTGAAAATATACGTCTTGCTATGATTAATCTGGCTGCCAACAGACTCATGGTTCGCAATAGCGTCGGAGCTACTCTGTAGATGTTTGCAGTCGCCGTGATGACACTACTAGCTCTGCTCGGCTAGAAGCAGAATACCGTGTACTGGCTCGCGGACCTGCACCAATCTAGTTGGTACGAGTGCGCCGATCAGCTCTGACCGACACTTCCGGTAATTGAAGCTGCTTCTTTAGGTTGTGTTTCGATAGGTTTCTCGGATAAGTCGGCAGGAACACTCAAAACCCTCTCGGTCAAGAACAATATGCACGCAGCCAGCTGATTACATGTGGAGACCTCAGCTGGGACCTAACGGCAGAAGTGCCGATCTACTCCCCAATTCGCCGAATTCTAGCGTTCTTCTTAAACCCAATTTGTCGCTAAAGTAACCTGTGCATCCTCGCGATTTCTGGCTGTTATACGGAGGTTGACGCTTGAAATAATGTTAGAATCGCCCCACGCAAGCAGGGGGGTCAATTTGGTCACACCGGCCATGTCTCTACTTGCCAGAGAGTAAGTCTACCCTATATACCGACACAATAAGGCAAAGATAAAATATAATAAAATAGTAATAAGGCATTTAAAGCTTACTTTTGAGTATCTCAATGATTTTTATTTATTCAGGCTTTTTTATATGTTAATATTAATTATTCTGAATTTCTTAGCAAAATTTCAAATAGTATTTGCCTCTCGTGTATTGTACTGGTTGTGTCTCGCCTCAGAAAAGCTACCCCCCCTGCCTGGTGGGTCGAAGCTAACATTACTTCAAGCGTCAACCTCCGTACGGAGGGCCCTTTCAAAAGTCTTGTCCTGGCGCTAGTTCAAAATGGGAAATCTGGCGGCTGTAGCTGGGCCAAGTACGTCAAGTACTTCCTCTGGGATCTTATCCACTAAAGGATGCTAATTTTATAGCAGCTTGCACTCACTGTGTGACAAGGTAGTCCCCCTAAAGCCCCTAAAGCTGTAGGGGATATAGCAGCTAACCTACTGTACCTGGGTTCTGCACCTTGTACCTCAGGTAGCCGACAAGGATTGAGGGATGTGGCGCATTTAGCGTTGGACAAGACTTTTGAAAAGGCCCTCCGTACGGTACGGTACTTTACGAGGCATAAGTTTAGATAGCGCGGACCTACCGACAAGGGGGTCGAAGAAGGTCACTTTTTCAGGCTTTGATGTACCGTCAATCTGATCCACCTGCTCAATTTGAAGCTATTCCCTACCATTTCGTATGCATTCCATTAGCATCAATAACATCCTTACGTCGTTGGTGATTGTAGCCTAGAAGCTCCCCCTACCACAGCAGACAGCCCCAGCCCCAGCTTCAAGTCCAGCTCCAGCACGACCTCGGGCACCGGCACGGGCGACTCTTGCTCCTGCTCCCGTTCGTGCTCCCGCCTTAGCTTGGGCCCCAGCGAGGGCACCGGCGACCTTACCGCCCGCCAATCGTCCGGATCCTCCTCCCCGCCCTTTCCGGGCCGAAACTCCTTCTGTTCCTCGCAATAACCTACCCACCACTCTTCAAAGGCCTGCCGATTATACCGCCATCTCGGCGCACCTTCTCCCTCACCGAAGAGGTCCAGAATGTGGTCGCAGTACATCCACACGCCCTCAAGATGGTGCGGTAATAACGGCTTCCTGTCCTTGCGCGCGACCACGATGGTACCGACATGTAACTGCCACGCCGGAGGCGCGAAGCCCGAGTCGGGGTTGATGTTGAGATACGTGGCGATCTGGTTGTCGAGGTCGGCACGGTTGGCGGACCGAGTGCCAACGCGGTGGAGGACCAGCGGCACCTTAATGAGCCCTGGGACGGGAGGAATGGCATGCGAGAAAACAGGATGGTCCGCGGGTATTGTGGTGGGGGACCAAGGTGGGTATCTGATTTTCTCCACGTCGCACCGGACAGTGATGGCGTAGATGGGCCCTGAAGCGCCGTGTGTTGCCGTCGAAGTGGATGCAGACGAGTGCCAGGAGGCTGGAGCAGGTGGCGGGGTTGCAGACGGCATCTCTGGCTCGGAATCTGTGTCTATGTTGTCCCATTTCGAGTAATCTATCGGTGCCATGGAATCATTATAAGTCTTCGCAATGGTGGAATACTGAATTCAATCTACGCGAAAGGTTAGAAAGACACTGGATTGTGACACGACAGCGCTTGTTGTTGTTGAATGTTGGTTTGCGCAGGGATGCTGAATGCTTGGGGCTTTATTATTTATATCTCCAAGTGATCCCCGTCTAGGACTTTGAACCTTAATCGTAGGACATCAAAGTTTAATCTTGATCCTGAAGTTAAAGGGGAACTCTCAGTTCTGCCACCAGCTTGTATACGCAGGACCTCAAACACTGTCTTTCTTTCTTTTCTTTCTTCCCAACGCTCGGATCACTTAACGCCCAATGTGCCCTCCAAGCCATGCCGTAAGCTTCGTTCCGAAAGGCCTTGGCGGGCCCGTAGGGACCGGTCTCCTGTGCCTTTCGGAACGAAAGGTTCTTCCTTCCGCGCCCTCGGCCAACGCCCGGGCCACTTAGCGCCCTGATCCTTTCTATCTAGCCACTAAGCCACCATGAGCCACAATTCATCTTATCTCTGACCTGGCCCAGCTCCCGGCCCGGCTCTCGCTGGCTCTTGCTTTCTGCGGGAAGGGACCGGGAGGGACCGTTCCTGGAGCTCCGCCACCGTCCGTCCATCCACGGAGCTCCTTTCATCTGCCGCCTTTTTAAAGCTACAGAAATGGTTGAAATGGTTGCGATTTGTCGTCAGTGGCACGGGAAGACCGTCCTATCGGTGGCTGTCGGTTGTTTCTTTTCTACAAGTGGCGGTCGATTGCTTGTTTTCCACAATCCCGCCCGCCGACGGCATGGCCTGAAACCTTCAATGCCCGACACTTACTCTCTTCTGTTTCGACCACTTTCCACGTCAAACATGGCGCGCCATTTGTTTGATCTCTCCTTTCCCTCCTCACCACACCCGTGGCTCATATCCACTTGCTACCATGCCCCGGCAAGAGCCAGTCAGAGTCCCAATTGATGAGATCCGCCGTACATTGGAAGATGTGGATCGGCAACGCACTCAGAATAGGGCCCAAGGGCCAGTCAGACTCCATTTCGACGATGCCACTCTACAGGCTCTCCTCGAGCCCCGAAGGGAGCCGGTCAGAGTCCCTCATGAGGAGATCCTCCGCATGTTGGATCATCTTGACCGCCAGCGCGCCAAAGACCGAGCCCGTTAGCTGGGAGCTTGAGATCTGTGCCTCTGGTGTGAGCATCGTCGAGGAGAACGAGGCACTGATCTAATTGATCGCAAATGGTGACGTCTGAAGCTCTTCGACTTTTCCAGATCGATCAAGCACAACAATCTCATCGAAGTCGTTGAAGAAAATGGCAGCTTGGGTCTGCTAGCCCCCTTCGTAACAACTCAGCCATTCCTTCGCAAACTCCAGATTATTAAGGTCGATTACTTGGGCGCCAACATCTAAGATGACGCGGGTGTTGGAGCTCAGATTCGCCACCAGATGAAGGAGAGACTTGCTGTCGAATGTTGCGCCGTCCAGGTCTTGCGTCATCAGAGCAATGCCGTTCTCTGGGCGCAACAAGTACTCAAGCACGAGCGCGTTGGTATACTTCTGTTCCTTGAGGTCTAGCTGTTTGATTTCCAAGGGGAGAACATATCTATGATCCCAGTGATTCCCCATTAGAGAACTAGTATATAGCTACCTGAGAAGTGCACATCTACTATGAGCAGCTCCTCAGCTATCAATGCAACTTGGTTACCTAGCTCACTGCACCTGCTAACCATTACCGGACGTGACTCGTACAACGACCGCCCGTACTGACGACAGTTACCAGACAGTAACCGCCACCCGCTTACACCCAACGTCCTGATCCATACTAGGACCTGAACCCCGTCACAATACTGGCTTATGATCGAGAGGATATTCCCTCCGTTTGTGATTCTGAGATTGTAGTAGGGTAAGAGCGTCGGGCAGTTCTGCTTCGATGGCTAGCTGCAATGCTGTATGGCCGTTTTGATTAGGAAGGCTGGTGTCGGGATGTTCCTTGAGTAGTGCTTGGAGAAGCGGCATATTGTCTAATTGAACTGCGAAATGAATTATGGTGTTACCTTGGCAATCGACAGCATTGATGTTGATGTTCGCTTTCTTAGTGAGGAAAGACACGACTGCGAGATGGTATGAAGGATTATCCTTCCACCGATAGTTGCTGGTGGGAATGAGCAGCTCTCCATCGGGCGTACAGGAGTTCGCCCAGCTCGTATCCTTCTCCAGCATAATCTCAAGAATAGCCACCCGGCCATACTTCAACGCAGCCGGTGAATTCTCGTCCGCTGTACCAACTTGGAGGCCGATACTAAGCAAGAAGCTGATGGTCTTTGAATGTCCGTGTTTGATAGCGTCATCGATGTTCTGCTCGGAGGTTTCCGTTAACACATCAACGTCGGAGCCATGTTGGATGCATTCTGCTAGACGACAAGTCCCGCACTGATTGTCAAGTGCATCCCTACATCAGGCAAAAATGACAATCCCAGAGCCTGTGCGCGAATTCAATGCAACCAAACATCCAGGACGATTGAGCTGCCACGTGGCGGATATGCAGCGAATATCGCGGAGACCTGGCAACGCGTTTTCCTCAACCCCTAATACAGCGGATCTTGACCCATTGAATGGCCCGGGCACTTCCGTTTCAGCGTGCCCAACATCAACGTCAGAAAACACACGTCTCAAGTCAAGCGACTGCAATGAATTGACCATTGGGTCTGAAGCCTCTGCTCTGGACGAAGTCACTTTAGTGGACGTTATACATATCAATCTCGTGAGTATCCCATGATTGTTACGGAACCGGATCGTTGATTGACAAGCGTAGCACAAGCGAAGGCGGACCACCTCACAGCCTCTAAATAGGTAGGATTGCCATCGGTTTGATGAGAATCAACCATCCAGAAATCCCAAAACGGCCATCAATTTTGAAGAAGTCTTCCAAGATGGGGGTGCACCAATCAAGCACATCATAGTCCAGTTTCCGGCGGGACATATGGTACATTCTTCGATGCGACGAGCATGGGCTCAATTTCAAAAACCACCCGATCAAGGGCGCTGAAACGCATCTGGGGAGCCCAAAGCACGGTCGGTTGTCGCGACCCTCAGTGGCCATCGAGTACCTCGGCATTGAAGTTCTGCATTGCAACAAGACTCTGGTTGAGAAGGACAGCGCCGTGGCTCTAGAGCGGACGTAGGGATCCGATTGCGAATACAGCGGACTGCAGGCTCAAAATTGGTCACATCCTGCCCTCATCCAAGGGGAGACTAGCGTGGCAGACACGCAGAAGTCGGGGCCGAGCCAACGAGAACGTACAGACTAGCGGTGGCGGCCGACGACAGCTCAAAGATTTCGAAGTCATTACTGAACCAATTCCGTGGCGAGATTTATCTTGCTTACTGGCAAAAGCCAAAGAACTGGTCACCCGTTCTTCTCCTCCCTCATTGCCATCTTGACAACGTTGGCGTGCCAGACACCGTTGAGAGCCTAGGACTCACAGTCAGCGCTCTTAATAGTCCAGACCATTTGGACTATTAGTCCAGACTACACTCGCATCGCTGTATCCATTCAATTCAAAAGCAATTAATATCGCATTCTAACTGGTGGAATAAAAATTGGCCAATCGGATGCTCTTATTTTTTGCTTTTGAATTGAATTGACAGCAGCGTTGCCCCGGGTGACGGTCAGGGCTCCTAATAGTGCAGACCGTTTAGACTATTAGTCCAGACTGCAGATCAGGGCAGGGAATACGGACGCCCGGTGTGGACGCTAAGTACGCTAGGTTGTTGGCATGGTGTTACAAAACCAGGGTACCCATGACAGTTGCTGCGCCAACCATTTTGTTTTGGATATTTCTGATCAATTTACTGGTGCGATCCAGATAAACAAGGCTCGTTTCAAGGGACGCATCATCCTAGTCGTCAATCTACGAACGCCCGTCGTGGATTGATTATTGATCTTGGATTGCAGTCCGGACTACAGAGGAGCCTTTCAAAAGTCTCTGCTCGCGTGGACGCTAAGGTCAGCCACAAACAGGGATCGTGCCGAAAGCGAATGTACCCAGCCAAATTCTTAGGTACCTCACCCCTCTTTCACTTTTCCTGTTTTCCCCTCATCTTGACCGCCAAAATGCGTCAAAATACCGATATTGCAACCCGGGCTCTTGTGGTCGTCTTCAAGAGCCCATCGGGCGGGAAAACAACAGCTGAAGTTGCAGAGATAACAGGTCTTTCGCCCCGTACAATCAATGACATCTACGCACGCGCTATTTCCCGCGGATTCGATCCCAACCACCGACCGATGACCCTCCATGACGAATTCCTTCGTGATGCGCACCGCTCCGGGCGTCCCAAGAAGCAGACGGACGAGGCACGAATAGAGATCATCGCCAAGGTTCGCCGCGATCGATTTGGCAGGGAAAAGACGTGTGCTGATATTGCGGGCGAACTGAGCAGCGATGGGATCGAGATCTCGGCCGTCACTGTATGGCGAATACTGAAGAAAGCTGGATTCCGAAAGACAAAGCCAACGAGGAAACCTGGATTGACGAAGAAGATGAGGGAGGCACGTCTGGCTTGGTGTCTTGAACACCAGCACTGGACCCTAGAGGACTGGAAGAATGTCATTTGGTCTGACGAGACCTCTGTTATCCTGCTCCATCGACGAGGAAGCTATCGCGTATGGCGAAAAGCCGATGAGGCATTTGTTCGAAGTTGTATCCGGGAGCGATGGAAAGATGCATCTGAATTTATGTTCTGGGGCGCCTTTTCCTATGATAAGAAGGGCCCCTGCCACTGTTGGGGTCCAGAGACTGCTGCCGAAAAGAAGGAAGCCGAAAAAATCATTAATAAAATGAATGAGGATCTTGAAGCTGTTATGCGAGAAGAGTGGGAAATTTCAAATGGAATACGACGATTACATCTACATCAACTACCCGGCCCGAAGCCAATCTGGCGATGGAATAAGAAGTCCGGAAAGCTGACGAGAGGGTCCAAGGGCGGTATTGACTGGTATCGCTATCAGAAGACAATCCTGATCCCTAAGATGTTTCCTTTTGCTTTGGAATGTACCAAGGACCGCCCGGGCACTTTGGTCCAAGAAGATAAGGCTCCTGCTCACAGCCACTATATACAGCAACAATGTTATGATGCGAATAGCATCAGCCGGCTGCTATGGTGTGGGAATTCCCCGGACCTCAATCCTATTGAGCCGGCTTGGCCATGGATAAAGAGACGGACTACAAGGAAAGGAGCCCCAAAGTCAAGGCATGAGGCAGTCAAAGCTTGGAAAGCAGCTTGGAAGGAGCTTCCGCAGGAAGCTATTCAGGCTTGGATTGAGCGCATCCCTCATCATATTAAAAAAATCATTGAGTTGGAAGGAGGAAATGAATACAAGGAAAGTCGGACACAGCGGTAGGTACATTGGGAATCCTACTATACATTTTGGGTGGGACCCTGCTCTTTCCCGTGACGCTAGTGTCCTTAGCGTGAGCAGAGACTTTTGAAAGGCTCCTCTGTAATAGTCCAAACGGTCTGCACTATTAGGAGCCCTGGTGACGGTGTAGTCTTGACTAATAGTCCAAATGGTCTGGACTATTAAGAGCGCTGATCGATTCCCACATCTCAAGCCATTGCAAGAAGGCTTTCTGGTTCTTCAAGCCTTTCATTGCTTCAATATATTCGTCCTTCACTTTAGCCATCATAAAACCTTCTGATGGAGCAGCAGAGCTCTTGAGTAGCTGCATCCACTGTCGTAGTGTCTTTTCTGTCGAGGGGTTGCCTGTACTTGGCCGAGACTGTCTCCAGAATGATATCGTATACCGTATTGATCTCTGTCTCCTGTTTTCCAAAGTCCCGCTTCCTAGGGTTGGCATGGGCCCAGTATGGATGTGCCAATGCGGAAAAACGTAGCAAGTGAATTTACCCTGTAACTATGAGTGCATTTGTCAACGTGAGAGATTGTTATGATGCGTTCTCGGATCCTCGTATCGAAACGGGTTCTCAGCTCCGCAAATGCCCCCAGGCAAAAGGCATTCACAGCTTCCCAGCCAGCACCGCGTGGAGGTGAGAGTCGTCGCCGGCCGTGGGGATCCTGTCGTACCTCCGTACATGTCTGTACTGTAAATCCCTTGCCAAGTTTTCTCAAGCCGTGCCGGTAGACTGCCAAGCCGAGACATCCGAACCAAACATGGAAACCCTGCAAGCGCCAACGCGGCCGCTGGGCCCATACCTAGAGCAGTCACTCGGCCGAAAAAACCCCAGCACTCTAGCAAAGGGTCCCTGTAGCTGCATCTGCAAATTTCAGACAGGCCCATGATTCTAAGCCCGCTAGCAAGATCACCCTCCTGGTCGTCAACGCCGTACGTACCGTACCGTACCTTGTTGCTCTTGGGCCCCACGGCTTCTGATGTCTGGAGGTGGCCCCTGTCATCCCGGCGTGCGGGGAGCTGATAGCCTGAACATCTGGGACCTGGGACCCGGTTGACACGATCAATCGGAATCCTTCCGCCAAATTGCACAAGCAGGAACAGAACATCGCACTAAGCTGGGGTGGAATTTTCGGTATTCGATAACGGTTAGAATAGGAAATATTATTTGCTCGGAAACAAGGTAAAATGCGTTATTTTCCAGCCGAATCGTCTAACGCTACAACTTTTGACACCCATCATTTGGCGTGGAATCGACCAGGGCTGGCTTGCTCATCCTGCAGGGGGCCATGCGAGGTGTGCTCAATGACAATCTCCGTCTTCCGCAGTATGCCCTCCTCGTTCATAGAGCCCGTCCTGTCGTTCGCCGGACCCAAGATGTCCTCCGCGCTATCTCCATCCCTCTGATCCACACCACTGCCCAGGGCCTGCACTCCATTGCGACGCGAGAGGTTCTTGCGCCAGGTCGACTGCAGTGCGTACGCCGAGTCGCCCTGGGACTTGCTTCGGCTCCGGCTGCCGACTCTTGACTGCTCGCTAAAGTACCTCACGAGCGGTGCAAGCGTCGGGACTGACGCGACGATGATGCCCAAGTTGTTCTCGACCATAGACCACATGATGAGGAGGCTCGAGTCGAGGAGGTTGGAGAGGGACTTGATGGTCTGGATGCGGACGATTTGGATGACGGAGACGAATGTGCCCATTGCGAAGAGGCCGAGGAGGACGAACTTTTTGCGGTTGGGCATTTGGAGCTTGAGCAGAGTTGGGAAAGGGAGCACCATGCTGAGACGGTTATTAGCACCCACGCGACCATGTTGAGATCCTTGACTTACACTATGACGTCGAAGACGATGGTCAGAGAGGCCATTGTCGTATACATGGGCACGCCATCGATGCATGATCCCCATGTGACACTAGTGTCCCATTGTTTCCTGACCTGCGGAGGAACTCGTGTTAAGCTTGATCCAAGTTGACGTCGTCCATTCCCAAGACTTACCGGCGTGCACAGGTTGATCTGAGCAATCAAGAACGAAATGTGAAACAAGGTGCATGCCACGGCAACGCCAACAGTCGTGTTGTACCAGAAGCCCGCCGCCATGAATCGCAGATAGGATAACAGCAGACTCAGCTTGAAGCCAAGAATGCTAGAGATGTAGCTGTTCGTCGTGTCGGTGTCTCGGTACCATCGTGGGGAAAGGAGGTGGTCTCTTACAATGGCGCGCCGATAAATTGCAGCTGCGGGTTGTGTCAGTCGTGGTCGTGGGAGACGATGGACAGGTTGCTGACCAGCATGAAATCATAGTAGTTCTCCAGGGGCATATCGTCAAGACTCTTCAGTCCCAGACCCCATTTTGTTTCTGTGCTCTGTCTTAGTCGGTTGTCTTTGGCGATTTTTGATGTAAGGGCGCTCACGCATAATCGTCACAACTGCAAAGCCACAGCTCGCAACCTGAACCTATGGTCAGTAGAGCCTCCAAACCGAGATGCAGATCTCCTACCCATGTTGCAACGCTGATCCAGTCATCTAAAAGCCGGGGAATCAGTCAAGGGTCAAAAGACCAAGGGATCGGCGATGTTCCGTACCTACTCCAAACGCTTTGAGCATGAATCCCCTCACGTATACTCGCAGGCCGACCGTCAAGAGTGCAACGGCCGTGAAAACGATGGCCAGAGAGGTGATTTGAGGACCGGTGGTCGGAGGATCGCCCGGCACATTGTACGTCCAGCCCATGGCTGCGATTGGAGAGTCGAAAGCTAGCTGCGCACACGTATGTAAGAACTAAAAAACAGACAAAGGGAACAGAGTAGCAAAAAAGAGAACAGAAAAGACAGAGTAGGCTACCCAATTTGCTCAAACCAAGGAGGAAAACGTGATTGAGAAAAGACGTGCCCCTCTCAACCCGTCAACCAGGGTCGCTGCAGGCACAAGGCTTAAACTAGCAGGTACTGCAACATCTTCAGACACGATACTGCACCATGCAGGGAGTGTGGGCATGGCTAACAGGGGCAAAAAAGTCTGCCTGTTGGGTGTCTCCCTGGGGATAAAAAACACGAGACTCGCTGAAGTGACAGCCACGCGGGCATCAACATGCACCGCGGAAGTGGGACTCAAGGGGCATTGACTAAAATAACACTGTCCTTTATGATGACATATTCACTTGGAGTTTACTAAATCTTATGCCACCTAAGTCTAATGTGCGGTATATTTTGTAACTGAGTCTCATGTACTATGTCCCCACTAAGGGTGTGTTCTCAGCCATTAACCGAGGTCGATAGCCGTCAACCTATCTCAAGCTACTCCACCTAGGTAGAGGACTTCGTAATCACTGAAGAATCACGGAGTACCATTGTATTGAGCGGGAGGAGTGGGTGTGGGATAAAATCCGAGCTCCCGTTCTCTGGGGTTGGAATAGGCACGGACGGGTCCGCCGCCGCATCCGTTCTTGATCTCCGCTGCCGGGGTACCAGGCCCCCTACCCCTGTCAGCGACGGCAGTGGAGGCACGGCCGCATAGCTCATTAAAACGACCCCTGCATGTTATCGTGCTGCATGATAAAACTCAAGATCTGTACCCCAAGAATGTTCCATTCATGCACAAGTTCTCTGCAGGTCCCTAGAAGACGGGCCGTGGCACCAATTGCTTGCTCCATTTCCGTCAAGACGCCTCAAACAGGTAATGTCACTCCATCTTGTTTCACCTTTCTGTTTCCCCATGCTCACATTCTGCCTCTAGTGCTACCTAGTTTCTCAACGCAGCACCCACAATGAGAGTTGCAAGCTTTCTGACGGCGGCGATTGCCATTGCAACCGCCCAAGGATGTGCCACTTCGTCTAGCTGCAAATGCTTCCCGGGCGATAGCTGCTGGCCTTCGGACAATGAGTGGAGGAGCCTCAACTCGTCCGTCAATGGCCGGCTCATCAAGACGGTGCCGCTGGGATCTCCTTGCCATGACCCCACGTACGATGCTGAGGAGTGCAAGTATCTCCAGAGTCAATGGCAATCGCCTGAGATTCAGTAAGTTCGCCACATATACCAGTTGCTTGGGACGCCTTGATTGGATGTGTTTTCACCCAACAGCGTGCTACTCTCCCTCAAAGAAACACTACCAGTTTGCTGACACACACTCTAGTATGGACTCTTCTTCCTCTGTCATGGCCCCTTGGTTCGCCAACCAAAGCTGCGACCCCTTTCAACCTCGCTCCCGCGCCTGCGAACTCGGCAACTACGTTCGCTACGCCGTCGAGGCCCGCACCAAGGCCGACATCGTCAACGCCATCAACTTTGCCCGCAACAACAACATCCGTTTTGTCATCCGTAACACGGGTCATGACTACAACGGCCGCTCCACCGGTGCCGGTGCCCTCTCTGTCTGGACGCATCGCTTGAAGGACATCGAGTTCATCGATTACAACGCGAACGGCTACACGGGCAGGGCTGTCACTCTCGGCGCCGGTGTTCAGGGCTTTGATATCCTCAGCGCGGGCCACAATGCGGGATACGTCGTCGTCGGAGGCGAGTGTCCCACCGTTGGCATCACGGGCGGATACACCCAAGGTGGTGGTCACTCTGCCCTCAGCTCGAGTTTCGGCCTCTCGGCGCAGAACACGCTCGAATTCGAAGTCATCACCGCCGATTCAGGCGTCGTCACCGCCTCGCCTACCAAGAACTCGGATCTCTTCTGGGCTCTCAACGGTGGTGGTGGCGGTAACTGGGGCGTCGTTCTCTCTATGACTGTCAAGGCCTTCCCCGACGCCAACGTGGGCGGTGCAACCCTGGCCTTCTTCACTACCAACAACGACCAGGCAACCTTTTACGAGGGCATCGGATCTTTTCACTCCAAGCTCCCCGCAATGGTCGACGCTGGTTCCATGGTCGTCTACTACTTTACCAACACCTTCTTCCAAATTGCTCCCTTGACCGCCTACAACAAGACTAAGGAGGAAGTTCAGACTATTCTTGCGCCTTTTGTCAAGTCTCTGAATGACTTGGGCATCAACTATACAGTCACCTACAGCCAGACGGACTCGTACTACGACCACTACGACACATTCTTCGGCCCCCTGCCCGTCGGTAACATCCAAGTCGGCATCGCCCAGTACGGCGGCCGTCTCATTCCCCGCGATACCATCGTCAACAACAATGCTGCGCTCACCGAGACCGCCAAGAGCATCGTCGAGCAGGGAGTCACCTGGATCGGCGTCGGCACAAACGTTTCCCCCTTTAGCAACTCCAAGACCCAATCTGTGCTGCCAGCCTGGAACAAAGCCCTCGTCCACGCCACTCTGACGACACCCTGGAACTTTACCGCCCCTTGGTCCGAGATGCTCGATCTTCAGAACCTCATGAGTGAGAAGATTATGCCTGAGATTGAAGCCGTTACCCCTGGAAGTGGAGCTTATATGAATGAGGCTGATTTCCGTCAGCCTAGGTTTCAGTCCGAGTTCTTTGGCAGCAATTATGACCAACTGCTCACTATCAAGAAGAAGTGGGACAACCGCGGCTTTTTCTACGCTCGCAACGCCGTCGGCAGTGAGCAGTGGTCCGTTGCTGATAATGGCAGGATGTGCAAGGCCAAATAGGTTTACCGGTGGCAAGCTTGTCTAATGCAAAGTATAACTGATGGCTGAAGCATAGAGCTATAACGTAGTTCATAAGCGAGTGAAACACCTAACCACACCCCCCCCCCCCCCCAAATATTAAGATAAAACAACAACAACACATGAAATCAATTAAAATCAATCACTACTCTCTTTCTGGGACATGTCTACATTAGCTTGGCAAGTGCGCGTATTATGCCCGAGTCTCCTGCATGTGCCACATCGCCGTTCCCTCGTCTGCGTCCGCCTCCGCCGACCACCACTTTGCTGTATTTCCTGATGTACCTGCTCAGCTATTTCCCTCTGATCTTGCAGCTCTTCTCCCTCAGCTACTGTCATGCTCCCTGAAAGCCGGAGACGTGTTTTCTTTGCCCTACGCCACTTGCGAAGTGTCGCATTTGCCTCTCGAAGGTCCTTGTTCTCAGCCCTCAATAATGTCATCTGGTGCATTATTCCTCGCGCCCCCTTTGCAAATTGATCCATAGCAGCTAAAATTGATGTCGGAGAGCTACCCTGATGACGGCTGATTCGAGTTTTACTAAAATCAGTTTGTGAAGTAGCTTCAATTGGCTTGTTCAGGGTCCTTGGAACCCAGAGGCTGGGCAACTCGAGATCCCCTTCTGCAGGCGATGGAGTCCGTAACTTTACATCTAAGCGAGAAAGGACACTTTCTGGATCGTAGGGTACAAGCCCTGTACCTCTAAAACCCCCCTGGATGTTTTTTCTGATACTGCGCTTTGAAATGCAGCTTGAAATGCAGGAAAGAAGTCGGCCTTAGTAATGTGCGTGATTCGGGCCTTCATCATATTCTCAATTTGTCGACCGTAGGCCTGCTTGAGAGGCCAAAAGCAGCCAACATCAAGTGGCTGGAGGATATGAGATGAGTGTGGCGGCATACATAGAGTAATGATGTTGTTATCCTTGCAGAATAGTTCGAATTCGGTCGAATGGTGGCTCTCGTGCCCATCTAGGACAAGGAGACGATATGAGCCGGAAGAACGCGTCTTTGAATGCTTATCGAAGTGCCGGATCCATTCTAGGCCTCTCTCATTTGTTGTCCAGCCGTTATCCGAGGTTGCGATGACCCAGTCTTGTGGTAGAGTTCTTTCATCATACCAGGCTGCAAGGTGATATTGACCCGCAACAATGATAAACGGCGGGATCGCCCACCCTTGGGAATTAACGCCCTGGATCACAGTAACCCATTCCCTATTTCCTTGCTGGGCCATTTTTGGTCTTCCACGTCGTTCGGCGCTCGTAACGACCATTCCAGTTGAGATAATACCCATCATAAACCCAGTCTCATCAAAGTTATAGATATCTGACTCCTGGTTACCATATTTCGCGATTGTATTCCGCACAAGCTGAAACCAGCCCCAAATAATATTGGGATCTTCGCATTGGGCCCTCTGATAGTCAATAAAACGCGTCTTGAGCTCTGGTTGTCGCTTGACGAAGTTTGTGGCCCAGCACTTCCCGACCGGAGGCGCGTCGCGGTCGGCGAGCAGTCGATTGGCCATATCTTCCACATCGCAAAGCCGGGGAGGAAATGATCGCGCATCTAAGTCGAGGACATACTCAACAATTGTCTTCTCCTCTAGATCCGTAAGTTTATGCGAATTGGGCATGGTATCGCGTCGAGAAGTTATTCCCTTGAGATGAGTGCCGAGCGTTGAACGACTGACATCGTAGATCTTAGCAGCTGCTAGTGCGCTTAGCTGGGGGTCTTTTTGGATAGCTTCGATAGCCAGGACCATTCGATTCTCTTTGCTAAGAGTTTCCATAGTTTTTTGTGGAGGAATAGCAGATTGAAAGTAAAACATGGTGTGGGTACGGGCGGGTGGCCAGCTCGCTTATCTGGCCAGCTCGCTTATGAAGTACGTTATTGTTTATATTATTAGCAACACTGAGGTCCCCGGAAGAGGGACCAATTCAGTTTGGATGGCGACTTGATAATCTCCCAATACCCCTAACCGTTAGAGGCTTCGTGTCCAATTAGAAGCTGCGCTCTAGTCTTATTTTGGCACTCGTCGTACCGGTTGGACCCAAGATTTTACGCGTGGAGAATGTCATGCTCCTCGTATCAAAATCATGCCAGGACGACGCTTGGCTGTCACGCAATGGCTAGCCTACCCAATGGCGGGGCTAGCACACCGCGGGGCGGTACCTGTTCGCCAGGCACAAGCGATGGCGTCATAGTGGACGCTGATGGCGTTTTGCGGGCACAATCCACACCAGATATCTCTTCCTTTCACAAGGTATCTCGATCAGCAAATTTGGTCTACGGGTCTGGAGACTATTTATATAACTACGGAATTGACTTTAGAAGAAGATTTCACCTGGATTCAACACTCAATTCTCTGTATCGGAGATAGCAAAATTGACTTCGGAAGTCAGGCGAGTTAAGCCCCTCTCTGGCCTCTCTGAATCTGCACCAGGACCCCAGAATTCGTTCCTGTCAAGGATCAAGCGACGTGGCAGAACCTTGTACGCGGAGGCACGCACTATCACGGCTTTTAAAATGGCACCAATCATTTACCTCGTCCGCCACGCCGAGTCGGAGCATAATGTTTCCAAGGACCTCTCGCACAGGGACCCGCCCCTCACGACTCTAGGCATCACCCAGGCATCTGGCCTGACCGAAACATTCCCCGATTCTGGGTCAGTTGCCGTGGTCCTCACTTCTCCGCTTGTGCGCACACTGCAGACTACACTGGCTGGCTTTTCTCACGTGCTCGACAAGCACTGCGTCAAAGACGGCGGCATAGACAAGGGCGCCCGGCTTATCATCGACCAGGACCTGCAGGAGCGCAGCGATCTTCCCTGCGACACCGGATCTGAACGTGCTGTGCTGGAGAAAGCGTTTCCTGCCCTTGACTTTAGCGTCTTGGGCGATAACTGGTTCGCTAAGGAGGGGTTCTACACCACGGATGATGCCACTGTCGCAAAACGAGCCAGAGGATTCCAGGAGAAGTTGCGGGACCTCGTTGAATCCCTACAGAAGGACGAAGGTGCCGTTGCAGCGCGAAAGAACATTGTTGTCGTCACTCATGGCGTGTTCATGAAGTTTCTGTCTGAGGATAAAGCCATTGATCTTCCCAAGGCGGGGTGGAAGGCCTTCACGGTCGGCAATGGGGTTAAGGGCGAGGCTGTGCTTGTGACCGTCGACTAAAGAACCGCTAAGACTCTTTCCCCCAAATCGGGCAAGAATTCAATCATGTGGAATAGTTACAGTTTCAATGGACACAAGCGTAGCAGATCTAAAATGGTGATTCAGGTACGTAGCTATGATCTGGCTGGGCACGTTCGAGCCAGGCTCTGCGAGAGGAACGTGTTGACGCATGGGAATGAATCACTGGGTATTCCAGCGGAGGTCTTCAAACGAGGCACTTGTAATAGCCTGTTGATTATCAGTCAAGATATATTAGAGATCGAGGTCGTCTTTATTTACGGCGTTCACTTCCTGCTATTGATTCATCATTCCTGTAAATGGACAAGGAGTGATTGACGGTTGGTCTCAGCAAATAATGGGGATGCTCAATCTAAATTGAAGAGCTGAGAATCCCCATGTGCCGGGGAGTCCTCATCTGGTCAAGAGATAAAGAAAGGGGGACATATGAATGGCCTATTGTTCCCATGCTCCTCTGTTCGTAGTGCCCGCAACCTGACATGCTCTGAACCAATACAGCGGGGATTTGGGAACAATGCAAACGTGCTCATGGCGACATGCCCAGCCTCAAAGTGTAGGATTAACCTGAGACAACAGCATACCAAATCAGACCGAACACGGCACTCATGACGATAGCAACCGGAGGGCTTACGCCAAGCCAATAGCCTCCAACATAGCTCGTGGCGGTAACGACAACCCACCACGGCTCCAATCCAAGACTGGTGCGTTGCTGGAATCCCTCATCTATATATCCGATCTGCCAGAGGCGATAAACCGCGGTATAGATAAGCCCAACGGCAGCGGCATTGACGCCCCTGAGAAGCGACTTGACCCACCTAAGGCCACGAATAGCACTCCATATACCTATGGTGCCATGGACCGTGATGAGGCCAGGAGCGTAGATACCGACAAAACCTAGCGCTGCTCCGGTAGCCGAGTTGTATCCACCGTTGATCGCAGTCAAGGCGCCGAGGTATACTGCAAAGTTGAAGTTCGGACCTGGGAAGCTCTGCTGGATAGCCAGCCCAATTAAGAAATCTCGAGGACTGACCCAATTCTCGCCAACGACATATTCGCGAAGGAGTGGAATGACAACTGGTCCACCGCCAAAGATGATCGTACCTGCGAGGTACATGTTGGCAAAGAAGCTGAACAGAAGCGACTTGATCTGCAGGACGCCGCGCAGAACCATGATGACAACGAAGGTGATGAGGAAGAACACGATGAGTCCGAGACCGAATTCCCACGAGAAATTGAGGTTGCGCTCCGGTGGGACAACGCGGGGTTCCCCTTCGGCGGACGGCGGCCCGCACTCAGTGAGAGGAAGAGTTGGCTGTACCGTCTTCTCATCCTTGCCTTGACCCTGCTGTCCCTCCGTCTGGTTCGCTCGTCTGGTAGAGGTGTCCTCGTGGCTGGTTTCCTGCTGAGGCGGCAGTTCGATGTTTTCTTCGTCTGGTGCCGACGCCTTTTCCCGGGATTCCTCAACGTATTGACCACCGCCTTGACGGGACCATGAAGCCAGCGGAAGTCGTGGACGATGGCAACGATTCCAGCGAGGAACATAAGAAGCGGGAAGTACCACAGAGCGTTGTACAGCATGCCGGCGGCAGCGCCGAGGAACACGAGGATACGCGTCATCTTGTCTGTGATGGCCTTTTCCGACAGTTGGACAGCAGCGAGGGCGATGATACCAACGGTAGAGGCATTGAGACCAGATAGAAGTGCGTAAACAGGTCGAGGAAGAGACGTTCCGATGTTAGAGACGCCGCCGGATAGGCCGTACATTCCCAAAGCTCCGGGCAGGCTGGTCATGTTGGGTCAGCATATTACGTATCCCAGTTGTTGTGGATCGTCATAGTGTCTTACCTCCAAATAAAGAAACCCAGTGCGGCAGGGAGAAAACCATCGTGAATGAGGTTAATACAATAGTGCATCTTTGTACTGCCAGGGCCAGAGAAGGCTTGGCACACACTGAAGAGCCCCTGATACTGCTTATCGCTCAGCATATCGCCAGGCACAATCATCACACTGAGATAACCTTAGGTACCACTTGCTCGTCGATCCATTGTAGCTTCCTCACAAACTTGTCATGAAACTAGGTCCAGGTAGTTAGCAACAGTCCACTCCAAAGGCATGCCGCCGACCCAGTTGGCGCTACACCGTAAGGAATGAGGCTAGACAAACTCACAATCTTGAAATGCACTGGTGGTCCTCCGAAGGACGTGAAGCCGAGATGGTAGTTCTTGCTGATGGTATTCCAGAATCTCCCGCTGAGGTCCGCTGGATGCCAGCCTTCCCATCGTCGAATAGCCATTGCTCAGGGTTCCGCAAAGGCTCGCGCCTGGTCGGACCACACACTCAACTTACGACCTGTTTTCGAAACCCGCTTCTCGTTTGCGATGGATCTTCTTGAAGGACAGCGACGCCTAGGATACGAAATGCGAGACGTCCTCGAGCAATCAATTGACCACGGCCCCGTCGCATTCAAGCACTCTAAACCACGGAAAACGAAGGAAAATTGGATCGCGGCTAGGTCTGTAGGTTTTGTAATGATCTCCGTCAAGTGTCCGCCAAGCAGAGTGACGACAGCGGCTCGGGATCCCTGCTCGGTGTCACCAATAATTTGCCGTCTTGCATGGCACATGGGCTTGGCAACGGTCCTGTTGTGCCCATTTAAATTAAACTAGATGGTGTTAGTCACCCCGGAAATTTCATTCGTCCCCGAACAGTAGCAAAATGGACTTTTGCAGCGGGAATGGCGCGGGAAGAGTCACGCCGAAATGCGAGGAAATGAGCGTATGGATACACATCGGCCCATTCACGATAGCTCTTCGTAGAGGACAACTGATACAAAATGTGAAAGGCCTCTAGCGAGTTGATTCAACTAACTAGTCCCTATGCTGTTTACTTTCAAGATGAAGAAAGGAAAGAATCTAAATACAAACTGGGTGCGCGTTATATCTTCTTTAATATAGAAGATTCGAGAATCAACTCGATGGCGCTGTGGAGAAGAATTCGGGCTTGGCGGCAGAGCCGCCAGCCAAGTGGGCCTGACCCGTTACATTACCCCCCTCCTCCAGAGTTGGCGTGTATCTCACGATGATTTTCGAAGTTGACTCTCTTCTTCTTCCGCTTTGTCCATTGTTTCCATGCATCCGTATGCCGTACAGCACTGAGATGCTCCCACGTGGGTCTCGAATAGTCCACCCACTTCACGAGCACTTTCTTGTGCGTGCCTTCCTTCTTTTCATCGAGGATACGTTCAACGAGGTACATCTCTTGACCGTCCACCAGCACTGGTGGGGCGCTCTCGTGATCGACCTGCTGTGATGGTAGTGGGTCGTCAGCGACGGGCCGGAGCAAATCCACATGGAATACCGGGTGTATGCGTCCGGGCACGTCTAACTTGTAGGCGTGTGGGTTAATCTCCTCGACCACTTGGTATTTTGCATGTAGCCAGTCCAGCTTCTTACAAGGCCGTGACGTCTTGACGTTCTTCAGATTAAGGTATACCCAGTCTCCAGGCTTGTAGCGGGGCGAGGCAGTTCTGTGCCTGTTGGCTTGGGCTTGCTGTATCTCTTGGGCCATAGCTATTGCAGCTTGCGCAAACTCTGTGGCGTCCTGAAGTCTCTGGATGAAGTCTTCTGCCATAACCTCGCCCTCCCTCGCATCTTCTGCTCTTCGATCCTCGACTAGCTGAATTGGCTCGTTGTGGTAGCCGTGCATGAAGAAGAACGGGCTGAGGCCGGTAGAGGCCGCGTCCCTCTCGTTGATTGTTGCCATGTCTATTGGTAGCAGGTCTAGCCAATTCTCTTGGAGATAGTTTGTCCATATTCGTAGGATCTTCTCAACCTCTTGGTTCATTCGCTCCGTCGCTCCATCCGTCTGTGGGTGGTACGCCGTCGATAGCCGCTGCTCGATCTGCAGCAGTTTGCAGAAGTGCTTCCACATGTCGCTGACAAACTGGGGCCCACGGTCAATGGTTATGGCTGTTGGAATACCATGGACCGGGTAGTGCCGTTCGAAGAGTCTCTTAGCAACCGCTTCCGAGGAGATATCGCTCATGCCTTCGAGTTCGACGCCTTTGGTAAGCCGGTCCGTGACTACCATGCAGTTCGTCGCGCCGTCGCGTCCCGATGGTGGGAGGTCCGTAATGAAGTCAATAGTGACCTCGCTCCATATTCGTTGCGGAATGGGTAATGGCTTCAGGAGCCCTCTCTTCGTGTCTCTCCAAATGGTGTTCCTTCCGCAGACCTCACAGTTACGCACGAATTGGCGTACTTCGCTAGCTGCGCCCGGCCAAAAGAAGCGTCTCGACAGGATAGAGTACGTAAGGTCTCTCCCCGGGTGTCCGGTAATGTGGGAGTCATGTGTTGCCTGAATAATCTTCGTGCGAAGCGGCTCGGAGTTGGGTATCCAGACACGATTCCGGAAGCATAGGAGACCTCTGTCATCCAGGGAGCATTCTGAGATACTCACAACCTTCTCCTTTTGCAGCTGTGTCGGTAAGTTCTTCTCTCCATTCGCTACCAGCTTCGTGACCTCCTGATAGAGCTTGTCTTCTCGGCGTGCGGCGTCCCAAAGTTGCTGTAATTCCTGGTCCTCAAATAGCCTGATTTCCTTTTCGAAATCGAACTCCAGGGTGCCCTCAGTGTTAGTGGAAACTGTCGAGATGCGTACCCTTTCAAGGTGGTCGTCCTGAAATAGCCTCATAATGCGTGCCTTTAGCCGCTCGTCCGAGTAGTCGGCCGGCATATCTTGGTCTCGTCGGGAGAGCGCGTCTGGCAGTCCAGCCTTCTTTCCAGGCCTCCATTCGAGCGTAAAATGGAACCTGGATAAGAACTCCGACCATCGTACTTGTCTTTCCGTTAATCTTCTCTCCGAATAGAAGTATTTCAGATTCTGATGGTCCGTGAGGATCCTGAAATGCTTCACAGCACGCAGCTCTGGTTCCCATTGCTCCAGACCAGCGCTCGCAATAGTCCAGACCATTTGGACTATTAGTCCAGACTGCAATCTAAGATCAATAATCAATCCACGACGGGCGTTCGTGGATTGAAGACTAGGATGATGCGTCCCTTGAAACGTGCCGTGTTGATCTGGATCGCACCAGTAAATTGATCAGAAATATCCAAAACAAAATGGTTGGCACAGTAACAATCATAGGTACCCTGGTTTTGTAACACCATGCCAACAACCTAGCGTAATTAGTATCCACACCGGGCGTCCGTATTCCCTGCCCTTATCTGCAGTCTGGACTAATAGTCCAAATGGTCTGGACTATTGCGAGCGCTGCTCCAGACACCTCACAATAGCAAGCAGTTCCTTGTCGTGAATAGCGTAGTTGACCTCCGCTGGCGAATGTTTCTTCGAGAAATAGGCGACAGGTCGTAGTAGTCCGTCTTCATCGTTTCGCTGGGAGAGGACTCCCCCAGTAACAAATCCTGAAGAGTCTGCCTCCACGATAGTCTCTCTCTCCGGGTGGAAATGAGCTAGAATAGGGGCCGTAATCAACAGGTCCTTAAGCTTCTCAAAGGCTTCTTCGCATAGGTCGTCCCAACGGAAGGGTACGTCCTTTTTCGTTAGCCGTATCAGCGGCTCTGCTATCTCTGAGAACTCAGGCATGAAAATCCTGTAGAAGTTCGCGAAACCGATAAAGGCTCTCACGGCTTTTACGTTCGTTGGCGTAGTCCATTCCTTGACAGCCTTGACCTTCTCAGGATCGACTCGGATCCCGTTCTCCGCCTCGATAATGAACCCGAGATATTTCACCGTCTTGACTTCGAATTCGCTCTTGCTGATGTCTAGCTGTAGCCCAGCATCCATTAGGCGTTGGAGGACCCTGCCGACTTTGTCGCGGTGGTCTTGAATGCATCCAGAAGAGAAGATCAACACGTCGTCGATGTATGCTGACACGAAATCGTCTAGGTAGTCTTGGAGCACGCTGTTGATATACCGTTGAAAAGCTGCGGGTGCACCTGTCAGTCCAAATGGGACTACCAGCCATTCAAAAGATCCGTAGCGTGTTCTGAAGGCCGTCTTTTCTTCGTCTCCGGGGGCGACCCTGATCTTGTGGAATGCTGCTATAACATCTAGCTTCGTGAACCACTTTGCCTTTGCCACAGTGCGTAGCGTTTCGTTGAGTAAGGGCAGCGGATAGCGGTCCTTCTTGGTGATGTTGTTCAGTCTTCGGTAATCCACACAAAAGCGAACGCCTCCACCAGGCTTTTTCACCATGAGAACCGGTGCCGCCGCAGGTGAACTGCTAACTCTGATAAACTCCTTGTCGAGAAGCTCTGTAAGTGTCTTCCGCAGTACCAATAGCTCTTCGCGAGACATGCCATAAAGCGGACCCCAGGGTAGGGGTTTCTCGCGGCCGTGTTCGTCTCGTAGGACTTCGATCTTCAGGTCAACGCCTGGCCTGTGGGGAGGTAACTGGTTGGCCAGTTGTCGAGAGAAGGCTTGTAACCACTTGTGGTAGTGTGGTGGCAACTTCTCCACTGGGTCGATCTTTGGTTTCGGTCTCAAGGCTTTGTCGATGTCCGCCATCGTGACGGCATAAACTCCAACGCCGCCTGTACGTCTGTTGCGGCGCACGTCGCCTAGAAAGGCAGCGGCCATCACCTTCGAGACCTCTAGTCGAGGGGGCCGATAGCGTTGTCGGTCTTGTACTTGAGCTCCACTGGTTCCGATCTCCAAGTATCCTTCCTTCGCATGAATTTGAACATCTTGATCTTCCATCCATCGTTTGCCTAGAATCATATCCCAGTTAAGGTCGTCAATGACGTACATAAATACACGGCGCTGTTGGTGTCCGTCTAGGTCGATCGATAAGTAAGTGATCTTGTCGATCTTAACCTCCTTGCCGTCTCCTGCTGCATTCTCGAGGATGCGAGGTTGAACAGGTATATGTGGCAGCTGAAGAGATTGGAAGGTCCGTTTGCTAACCGCGCCGTAGCAGAGGCAACCATAGTCGACGAGGGATGGTACGAAGTCCGTTCCATTCACCCTAACGTCTGCTATGAATGGATCTCCATCCATTCTCTTTTTACCGGTTGTCTCCCATTCTCTCACAGCCGCCGCGTGTTCCTAGTCTGAATCTCCATCGCTCTGGAGAGTGGCATCTTCGTCTTCTTCAACGGTCGCGGCGTTGGTAACCGAGGGGCGCGAGGGGGCTGCGGCGTTGACTTGAGTGCGTCTGGTTACGCTCCCGGGCCGAATAGGTGCGGCTAATGGACAGCGTTCGATTCTGCAGTTATCTCTTCCGCAACGGAGACAACGTCCTTCGCGGTAGCGTGCATCCATTTCATCCTGATCGACCCACTTGGCACGCTTACCGAGCAAAGCCTGATCCTCTGGTCGCCTGGACTGGTAGCCATTCGTGTTCTTGCCGCCGCGGGTGCGCCCAGCGTTTACTTGAGTGGATGCTTGTGGGGTTGGCTCCCATTCCATCATGTCCCCTCTTCTGACCTCAGCCTGCTGGACAAGCTGTTGCTGAGATCTCTGGCTGCTCTGGCTACCGTGGTTGTCCAAGCCCCTCGTGTTGCCGCGAGGTTTCTTCCACTGGCCTAACAGTTCCATCTGGCTGCTAAGCGAGTCGCACCTCTTTGCCAGCCCAACGTAGGTGCTAATCGCGACGGGATCAGAGCCTATAAGAGCGGCCTTCATTCTGTCGTTTAGTGCCTCCTGGAGGTAAGAAATCTTGCTGTCATCTGGCCAATATTCGGCATTGGCGTTGGCGATCTCTTTCTCGAAACGAGGGTAGAACGATGTAAAGGGTTCGTTTTCTCCTTGCTTAATCGAGTGCAGGTTGCGAGTAGCTCTCTGTTTACGATCCTTCTCTCCGTACAACAGTTCAAGGCGGTTGAGCAGTTCAGCCACGTTAAACGTCCTCTTCTCAATTTGCATCTCCGCAAAGGTGGTCACATTGTCTTTAGCCTTGCCTTCCAGGCTCATAAAGACATACATGAAGTGGCCCTCTGCGTCTCCAAGGGCTTCGCCGTCGACTCGTAGCTTCCCTTCGGTCTCCAACTTCCAGCTACGCCACTGGGACTTGTCACCACTGTACTTCGGGACATCTCGCAGCTTGGGGCGCTTAATCGGGTGAGGACTGTAAGTGATAACCGTATTGGCGGGATCGGCGGTGATAGAAGGGTTGGTAGTAGTGTTGGGAGTGACAGGAACAGCGGTTGTCTCATTGTCTTCTGGCGCCAGCGTGGGCGCTGGTGTGGGCTGTATAGACTGGATGGACGTTTCCAGTGCTAACAGCTTCAACTTCGTTTCCTCGTTTGCCTCTCTTAGGGCCATATTCTCGGACCGCATAAGCCTGACTTCGCTCAAGAGTTGCTCGAGTACGCTAGCCGACTGGCTAGTGGTTTCCCCCTGAGTCATGCCGTCTGAGTGATCCATTATTCTTCTTCGCTTGTGGCTTCTGGTGCTTCTAACTTCTTAACTCCGGGTGCTTCGGGTGTTTCGGGTGCTTCGGGTGCTTCGGCTGACTTTTTGACTTCTGGACTCGGGATGAGTCGTTGACTTCTGGACTTCAGCAGACTTCTGAAGTGATCTTGAAAGTATGTGAAAGGCCTCTAGCGAGTTGATTCAACTAACTAGTCCCTATGCTGTTTACTTTCAAGATGAAGAAAGGAAGGAATCTAAATACAAACTGGGTGCGCGTTATATCTTCTTTAATATAGAAGATTCGAGAATCAACTCGATGGCGCTGTGGAGAAGAATTCGGGCTTGGCGGCAGAGCCGCCAGCCAAGTGGGCCTGACCCGTTACACAAAACGCTTTTGACTGGAGACTACAAAAACGCCACCTAGATTTTGAAGAAGCAAGTGACGGGCATAATGTGTGCTGCCTGTATCAGTAATGCCATGTTACAGTTGTCTAGGTTAGCGACCCTGCTCAACGGGGTGTAGGAAGCGTGCCGAGCCTATCATTTTGATTGATGATGTGAAGCCATGAAACAGCTGCAGCGCGTCGATACGCATCGTAAAGCACCAGTTTCGGGCAAGGAATGGCTCCTCGTTCAGTAACAAGTCAAGCAATCTCCTTTCTAAAGCATAAAATAAGTCGCACCTAAATCACAATTTTTGGCCTTACCGCCACGACTGCTACATGATAAACCAACATGTTGGCGCACACCCCCGCATATCATATCCATCATTACCTTATCATCAACTTCAAGTCTCCTTCCGTCAATGTTGTCCATCCCTTCGAATACCTCCGCTTCGTCGTTCCATCGCACCACCAGTGGGAGCCAATCAGCATTCGCTCGAACCTCGATGGAAAGGTCAGAAGAGTAGCAACGTAGGAACCCTCCGTCGACCTCCTCTCGGGTACCCGCTCCCAAGTCTCTTATCCAACAGCCTTCATGTCCGCCACGACCACGCCTCCAAGTATACTTCCAGCCTCCCGGTTCGTCAGACTGTACCTAGATTGAAGATTCTGATCATGACTAAGGCTATGTTGATGAAGTGCCGATGGTAGCGAAGTTGATTTATCTGATCATCTCGATCCTGACGAGTTCCCTGATTTGGACAAGATCATCATCACAGACTGGACCACGCATGAACCTCAACAAGGCATTATGTCCTGGATTGATCACATGCATCGTCGCTCTCGAGGTCTCGAGCTGGGAACGTTCGGATCGCGCTTGCTCTCTAGCGCATTCCGCGAGCAGTCCGCGAAGTGGGCCCTTATAACGAAGCAGTATCTCAGCAAGATCATTTTGGCAATCCACAGGTTTATCCTCAGGGCCATAAGGGAGGTCTGTACGGATCCCAGGGTTCGTGAAGAACTCATATCCAGCGTCATGAATGAACTCCTGCCTAGGTACAGCAACGGAATGGAGCAAGCCATTTTCTTGGTGGAGGTAGAAAGGGAGAAAAGGCCGTACACACTCAATCACTATTTCAACAGTAACCTCTAAAAGTCTCGTAGTGTTCGAATAACAGAGGCGCTTAAGGGTCAAGCTCGAAGAGAAAGTACCAAGTGGGGAAAGCTCGTAGTCGAGCTTAATAGCATTCAATCCACTATGAGCAATATGAGCAATGCAGAGCACACCGCAGAAGACATCCACGACATCCTTCACGCCTATTACAAGGTAGCCTGTAAGCGATTCATCGATAACGTATACCACCAAGCCGTCGATCACTGTCTCCTTTCGGGGCCCATGAGCCCTTTGGCGCTTTTTCCCGAGCAATGGGTTCTCCAATTGGATATCGATAAGTTAACTGCCATTGCCGGAGAAGCACGCATAACTAGGGACAACCGAGAAAGGCTAGAAAAAACCATTCAGGACTTGGAAGAGGCAGTCAAAATTCTACACTGAAAAAATTGTAGCTGGGGATCGAGCCTCTGCTACAAGTGAGGCGGCCTCACACCTGTTCGCGACTTACACGAGCATTGAATAGTGTCGCGGTTGTACTTGGGAGAGTGCAAGTGGAAGGGAACGATGCCATAATTATGGCTAAGGTCGCTGTTGCCGTTTGTATTCTTGGACTTGTATCTCACTTATATCAAGGAGTCAAAGGCTGGCCGTTTTAGAGCTGAGAAGCCTTCTGAATTCACAACGAAATGGTGGCAATTGATAAACAGCTCATGAAGGACCAGTAATGTCCACTTAGTACGCGCCCAATCATTGTCATGTCGCATACAGCCGCCAAATGCGCCAACCCCGCCGTGTGCCTTACCCTCAATTGTTTCGCAGCTTCGCGGCCGCACACCTTACCACGCAATCTCAGCCCTTTACTGTCCATCCCGACTCGCCCAGATACTCTCGCAAGCTCTCCTCTGCCGGTTGTGATGGAGTACTGCAGACACTGACAGATTCTTAACAGCTTCAACAGTAGCTGAAACTGCTGTAAGTTTGATCCCTCGGATGACCTCTATCCGTTCCGGATAGCTGATATCCGCCTTGGATAGCTGTTATCCACCCGGGGTGATCTTCATCCTCTCCGGATGACCTTGATCCAGCTCGGATGACTGCGATCCGTGTGACACTTCTCGTCAGCCGAGATATATCTATCTTTTTGTTTGCATCTTGAGGTAAAATTGGAGTGATTCATTTGAAACCGACCCATAACTACATCTCTCTCGTCCTTCCTTTCATTCTCCATCTCCATCTCCATTCACAGCCTCAGGTGAATGCATCATGAAACGGCTTCGCGCATTTCTCACTTCAACCAAAGCATTAATTCTCATCATGTTCGATTGCGCAACCATCGTTCGACCATGTAGCTCTTGTTACCTACAGCTACCTGCAAAACCAATTCCCAACACCACCAAAGACTTCATTCCCGTGGTTCCGAGTCCCTAACGCCCCCAGGCAGGGCAAATCCCGCCTGGCCGAACACCTTTTTGATGTACGTCCCGTGTGCCTTGACAAAAGCTTACGTACAAGTGAAATTTCGGGCTCACTTCTCTCATCAAAGCTTCACCTTCCGAGAGTCACATCCCCCTAAGAATCCCGTAGACAAGTCCCGAAAGGCTCGCCCACTAACGCGAACCCCAGACACCGATCCCCGTCCGGATGTTCCACTCCTCGTGAATTGTTGTACAAGTCGAAAAGTGAAAATTAGAAAGAAAAAAAGAGTTAGCATGCCCTCAAAAGTTCGAAATCCCATGGCCGCCTATGTATATGTGGTTCGAGCCCTTGGATGTCGCCTCCGTCAGGCAGACGCCATCATCCCCTCATTGGGGAAAGAAAGGGTCACCCATGAGTCATTTTGCCGTCCAAGGAAACCGATTCATCTCGATCATCGGCGGATCGCAACTCGTTCTATCAGAAACGCCGTTGGACACCCTGGCCAGCCATGACCGGTTGACTGGGCATGGGTGCACCCAGGCCATAGGGGTTCATTTGGGGGTTGAAGGGTTCGACCACCTGAGACATGAAGGCGCTGTGGAGACCTTGTTGTTGTGTAACTGGGCAGTCCTTGTGTGCGAGAAGGAGTGTCTTCAAGTTGAGCGCTTCTTCTCTCAGCTGCGTGATCTGCGAAGTCAGAGCATCGCTCTCAGTGCTGAACATCTCCACCTTGGTCTGCAAGTTGGCAAGCCACTGCTTTTTTCTTTGACGGCACTTCAGGGCAGCAACACTACGACATGTCAGTAACCAGGTTCAATACAGATATTAGATTTTCGAGTAAGACATACCGGTTTCGCTGAAGGAAGTTCTTGCGCTTCTCCTCATCCGTCATCTTGGACTTGGTTCCATTTTCATCATACTTCATATTGGACTCGTCGTCGGACATATCCATGTCTTCAGGCATAGTGACAGCCCTATTGGCCTTGGACTTCTTGTTTGGGGGTGCCTTTGCGGGAGCATCATCGGCTTTTCTTCTACCATTTGTGGCGGGCGGGTTCTTCTTGCCCTTGCCTCGTGTATTGGGTCGCGCCTGGTCGCTATCGTCCGACGCGATACTACCTTCGCTCACACCGCGAGCGGAACCGATCGAGCCACCATTGGCGCTCGACATCTGCGGCGAAGTGTTCATATTCTGGGGCACAACGGGGGCTGGGTGTGCGTGGCTAGTTGCGCCCGAAGTGACAGCAAACTGGCTCGTCGATTGGGCCCCATTCCTGCCCTGGGCAAGCATGAAAAGGCCGTTGGCGGCGTCGTTGTCGTGAGGGTCAAAGGGACCGGATGCGGGCTTCGTCTCGGACCTGACTACGACGGGGCCGTTGGGAATCTCTTGGGGTTGAGACGTGAGCGATGGCTGTTGCCGTGGCGGAGCCGGTTGGGATTGTCCGGACTGTCGTCGAACACCGTTTGTTTGCTCTCTCTTGGCAGCCGCGCTCATAGCAGTACGATGGAAATCGATGGTGCTAGGCGTCGCCCCTCCGCTAGCAAGCTGGGCAAAGAGGGCTTGGGAGTTGGGACTGGGCGCAGGGAACATAGACCCGCTGCCGCCCGGAGTCAAGCCGGTCCTCAAGGAAGATTCGTTAGGTGTAGGGAAGCCGCCGCGCAGATGATGGGTGTCACCAAAGTAGTCATTGGCAGGACTAGAAAGCATGGCTGGGCTCAGAGGGCTAGTCCGCAGCGAACCTCCACCCCAGTTGAATGGTGTTGCGTTGGGGCCGGGCAAGAGGGACGAGGGCGACGTTAAGGCGGCGACCGACGGCAGCTTGGTGCCTCCTGGTGTCTCTGGGGCACCCCCGAAGGACTGCTCGAAGGGATTGGGCTCCAGACTGAGAGATCCACCGACCGTGGCCGCGAAGTAGTCAGGAGTGTCGGTACCTTGTTGTTGACCGGGTCGAGGAGGAGGCGAAAGGGGTTTGGCGGCTTCGGCATTGGACGCGACCTCTGGTTTCACGGGCGGCTCGGCTTTTGCGTCGGTCGGGGCGTCTGCGAGAGGTTAGGCGCCCAGCATATACCCCCAACCATCGACAGCAAAATCACTAGAAAACCAACGACGACGTCGCGCTGTATGCAAGATACGTTTTGGCCGGTGCTGTTTATTGTTCGTTCAACCACGCCATCCTCACCACCATGTCCAATCCCCCCTCTTCCGACGCAGTCGTCGTCGGCACTGCGCCCTCCACCGCCGACCACTTGTGAGCAATCCTGCCATCCCCAGCTCGCCCCTCATACTCGGCTTGACCCGCTCCGCACACCCGATTCGGCCCACCCGATTCTGCCCGCGCGATTCTGCCCGCGACACTGTGTACTGACCTTCGCAGCATCCTTCAACACGAAGACGCCCGCCAATTTCTCTCCTCCCAGGACCGACAAGCCTCGCCCGTACGTTTGCGGCACCTGCCAGCGCTCCTTCGCCCGATTGGAACATCTCAAGCGACACGAGCTCACGCACACTAAGGAGAAACCCTTTGAGTGTCCTGTATGCAAACGACGCTTCGCCCGCGGCGATCTCCTGCTGCGTCACCAGCAGAAGCTGCACCAGCAGAAGCTGCACCAGACGTCGACCCTGTCGTCCCGCCCCTGCAGTCGTCGCAAGTCTGCCAGCGGCGTCGCAGGACCTAACATAGCTGCATCCAATGTGTCGGCTACTTCCATGAGGCCACGGGCAAACACCATCAGCCATATCGACGGCAGCCCGATGCAGATGATTGCTGCTGCGACGAATGCCTCGGTCGCACGAGGCATCCTCCCGTCCCAGAGCCATAGCCGATTCCCGAGTCTGGCCCGTTTGCCCATCCACAACTTGAACCATGGCATTGGGAGCACGTCACCGGCCATGGGACAGCGAGGGGTGCAGCACGAGCTGCCCAAGCCGGAGACGAGCACCTTGAACGGCCTCAACTTCAGCCCTGGCCTGCGGACAGCGCTGCCGATGGCTGCCTTCAACGCCAAATTCCAGTTTGACGGCCTCTTCGGGCCGGGCTCGACCACAGACCCCAATGCTCTCCATTACAATGATTCGCCGCAATGCATGGCCTTGGAGCAAGCCTCGCCATTTACGCCGTCCATGAATGGGGTGCCCTCTAGCCAAACCCTCGATGATAGATCTGAATGGTTGACTGGTCTCGAGCATCAGATGTCCTTTCACACGAACGAAAACTTGGTGGAATCTAGTCCGTCCGCCATCAGCACGACGAACCCGAGCGGGATAAGCGATGTTACGTTGCATGGACCCGCGCCGGCCGGGAAGAGTATGATGCAGCAACACTCCGTGATGGGCACTCCACAGGTGCCGAGCCTGTTTGCGATGGATCTCAATGGTTCGGTCCTCCCGGATCTCTTGAATGGGGTCCCTTTGTCACCTCAGCTAACTTCTCAAAAGATCAATGATCACTTCTCTACACCTCCATCTTCGCTGAGCTCATTGAGGTCGTCCGTCGTATCGGGACTGAGCGCATAGAATAATAACCAGACCCTTGGCTTCAACGCCGGCTCGCAAACCGCCTCTTCCCTCCACGGTGGAAACCATGGTAACCGCCAGTTGCCACGCGAAGTGTCGGGTTGATTCAGCATTACTTTGGAGGTGTCTGATTTTGCACCCCCTGATTTGGATGGCACCTATTTTGGGCCTACACGATGGGGTTGACGCTCCATAATAAATGCGGTTACTAAACATTTCAAGCCAAATCCCTACGCTCGCCACATACCCTCATTTGAACGGGGCAAAGAGACATTGCCTCGGGGGATATCATTCCTCGCAGAAAACGTCAATCTGCTCCGGCGATCTGCGGAAGACGTGAAGCGCGATGCGAGGCAGTGGGCTGCCACAAGCGGCTGAAAGAAGGAGTGGGCCAGAATTATTAGAATCCCAAAGTCTAAAAACCGCATTCCAAATCAATATAGTATTGCATGGGTCGGGATTCTCATCACAACCAGTCGGCCAGTTCCGGTTGCCAAGTTTTTTAGGGCGAAGATTCACCCAATAGGACCCCTGTGCCTGGCATCTCTTCCCCGGATCAAATAGAAAGGAAGGAAGGAATAACGAGTATCTCTTTTAAATTGTCCCTTAGCGGCAAAAGCAACTCTCGCTCTCCCCGGTGGATGTCGAGATTGTCTAGCTGTTGCGGAGAGGTAAGGCTAGTTGCCCGGAATCTAGCAGCATGGATGGCTCCTAACCGACGCATGCGCTGGGTGGACATACCAGCCTCCGAGGGGAGTATGCCCCTATTCGTGTTCAGTATAGACCACTTTCGGCGCGCGGCGTAAAAAATATTGGTATACTTGGAGACCAGGTTCGACGGTATCTCGACGTTCAAGTTCTGCGGACGCCCCTCGACACCGCCCTGTTTGTTTGGTTGACATCTCGATCAAAGGTCGGCAGCAGACACGTCGCGGTATAATGATATCTTCTGGAAGGATGAAAGAAGGAATAACCGGTGATGAGGGTTAAACTAAGATGTCCAAAGCACTATCTTTTGGAAGTGCAGCTGTGATGGTCCCCGTCTTCCACATGATCCCATTCAGGGCGCGTTGTCCCCTGTCCCGCCCTTTCACAGGTTTCGTCGTTCCTGAAGAGTACGGTTTCACAGTCGCAATCATAATCACTAACCCAGAAAAAAACAAGACAAACAGCATAACTTGGTAATTGCGTTCATTTAATGTTTTAATTCTAAAGTTTTGGTACCACCTAGTCAATGCGAAGACCTGTCTCGCTGAAAAGAATCTTCTTCCCCGTGTTCATGCTCTCTTGCAGGGCAACACTAATGGTGAGCGCCTTGACGGCACCAGAAAGTTCAAAGGGCAGAGGAGTATTATCCAAACAAGCCGCAGTAAACTCATTCGCCATTGTCACGAACGCGTACTCGAAACGCTCGTAGTAGTTGGCTGGAAGCTCTCGTCGCACTCCGTTGGACTCATGCATCTCAACGAGAGATACCATCGGCGTTCCGTTCACAACCAACTTTCCCTTGGGGCCGATGATTTCGGTCATATCGTGTTGACCCGCAGCCATCATGCGAGAGCAGTAGAAATAGGCAATCTTGTCATTCCAGAACTCGACGATGCCGATTCCGTTATCGACGTCCCTGTGTTTCCTCAGGTCTGGCTCGACGGCGGTAATACCGGACGCGGTAATACTCTTGACAGCACAGCCATCGCCGAGGAACCACAAAGCAAGATCGATATCGTGGATAGTGCAATCTACAAAAATTCCACCGCTGAACTCAGCGTATTGAACGAAGAAGCCCGAGGGATCGAGCTTGTCGCAGGTTTGGGAGCGGAAAATGGCCGGGCCTCCGATTGAGTTTACCCGCTTGTAAGCGTCACGGTAGGACTTGTCGAAACGGCGAGAGAAGCCGCAGAGGACCTTTAGGTAAGGCTTGGCCTTGGCGGCGTCGACGACGGATTGGGACTAATTGTATTCTGATCAGCACGAAGTAACACGTAGAGTTCCAAGACACAATGTTCCAGCTTACAACTTCGACGCTAGTGCTGAGAGGCTTCTCAGAGAAGACATGCAATTCTGCGTTAATGGCCTTTATGGCCTGCTCAGCATGGACAGCAGTCACTGTAGCAATAGCCACAGCCTCCAGCCCGGGGAACTTGAGCATTTCGTCATAATCCGTAAAGGTATTGACCCCAGCAGGCTCAAGGTTCTCCTGAGCCCACGCAATTTCCTTGGGGTCTGGGGTAAAGACTGCGACAAGCTGGGCACGGGGCGTTCGGTTAAGGTAGTTGAGGGCGTGACGCTTGCCCATGCGGCCGAGGCCAGCGCAGGCGATCTTGAGAGTTTTGACGGCCATTTTGGGGGACGAGAGTTGATTGAGTTGTGGCGATGTGTTGATGCGACATGACGACTGACTTCCTATGTCTTTTTTCTTTTGCCAGCAGTCACGATGCGTCCCCTCGATCTGTCGACCCTCACAGTGGCCGCCAATGCAGCCAATGCTAACGACTGTTCGCAGTTGGCGACGGCGTACGGACAAGCGGGACCCGTTTCCCGAGCCGGTATTTGGTGTCAGTCGGAGGCGAGTCAGACGGCCTGAAGCAAGTGGATTCGTCAATCACGTGTCAGATTTACCCCATACTCCGCAAACGCCACCTGGTAAGCTCAGGCGTAACGCGGGATTTAAATCCCGTACTGAAATAAGGTTAGTGGGGGGACCCCATGCTCCGATAAGGACAACTGAGCTTTGTTCACACCAGCCATGACACCATCGATATCACAATCTGCGTCGAAGAGGAAGTTTCGAAAGCATGTCACAACTGCTTGTGCGCAGTGTCGCGAGAGTAAAGTCAAAGTATGCAACACAGCATCTTGAAGGACATGGATGATAATGACAGTCCGAAGTGCGATGGAGCAACGCCCATTTGTGGGAGTTGTCTGCGAAAAGGAAAAGAATGCCGATATGAGGCCAGGGCAGATCGAAGAAAGTAAGTGGTGCCATATGCTCAGTGTAAAGAGCTGAATGATGACAAGCTGCTTTCGTCCAGACTCTCTCCCCGTGTCGCGATCGAATTGCTCTCAACGAGGGTGAACCAGCTCTCCAAATTCATCATCGAAAATGGCCTCGAACCACCGCCCATGCAACCGGGTAACGACGAAACACTCTCTGTAATTCTACATACCTTTGGGCTTGGGCAACTACAGCCTCAGTCGAGAGAGCCAATAAATGCATCCTCCGTCGAGCTAGCCGACCAGATTGACGAGGGCATGGTGCCGGAGTCGATGGATCAAGCAGCAGCATCTGTCGACTCGCATACCACCTCCTGGAGTATAGGTTCTGCCTCTAACGACGATATTTACAGGCTTCAATCCATGCTAGATGTCGAATCTCAACTTCCCCCGGACTCTTCTACATTAGACGAATACGGGCCCCAAAATTCACAAGACAGCGAGGACGAGCTGGTCGAGCAACTCTCCGACCGCATCGGCACACTGCAAATTCGACTAGGCGGGCATATTCGCTTTTTTGGCTCGACGTCGAATTTCCACTTGCTCGAGATGCCCGGGACTGATGGGACAACGAGTGTTTATCATCGGACAGTACGGAATGATGGCATGAAATACCTCGACCTTGTTGGCCTTGGCAAACGTGTTCCCTCAGAGATTGAGGAGCATCTGACCAGCCTCTACTTTGCCTGGCAGGATCCATGCTCTCATGTGGTTGATAGGACTATTTTCGGGGACGCCAAAGTGCAGTGGCAGAGTGGACAGGATACGCCATATTATTCGGAGGCTCTGACAAGCGCCATGTACGTTGAGTGTTAAGACTCAATTCCACCCATTTCTGATGTTTCTGCATACAGTTGTGCAGTTGGAGCAGCGTTTGATGCTCGCTATCATCCAGCGTTTGTCACGTTCCCGCGATCGCTTTCTGAGTTCTTTGCCGACCGAGCAAAGGCTCTTCTTGAAATTGAGCTGGATTCACCGCCGACTGTGGCCACAGTTCAGACCTTAGTGGTTCTCAGTGCACACGAGAATGGCATTGGCAGAGATGCGAGGGCGTGGCTGTACAGCGGTACGCTTAGATCCTTCCTTGGATAACTGACTTGACAGTAACCAGTTCAGGCATGGCGATGAGACTCGCCTATCTTCTCGCGCTCGATCAAAATCTGACGCAGTACATCGCAAAAGGTCTTCTTACTCCAGCGGAAGCAGAGCTACGTAAAGTAGTATTCTGGGGGGCTTGCGTAGTCGACCAGTAGGTTATCAGTCAACGCAGGAATTGGTTATTCTAACAGTTTGCAGTGCATGGAGTTTCCAAATTGGACAGCCGTTTCGGTTCTCTCCCAAAGACGCCACCGCCGCAAAACCCACGTCTCGTCAAGAGAGAGCTGAGCAATGGATTGCCTACGTGGCGTCGGCATCACCTGCAACTGCTCTCACGGATTATACCGATCTGGTCTGTCGATATCAGGCCTCGCTCATTGAAACAATGGGGCCCCTGTCAACGACAGTATATGGGGATGTGTCCATTCCAAAGCCAACGCTTCAGGAGATCAATGCACGGACTGTCGCTGAGCTGCTCAAATGGAAGGCTACTCTGCCCTTTGAGCTCCAGGTCAATAACACTGATCACAGCACGCCTTGCCTTCCACATATGCTTATGATGCAGTAAGCCGACCAATTCGGCCCATTCGGGTACCTCAAGGGCTAACTTTGCCAGCATGCAATACCATCAAGCCATGATCTACGCCCATAGACCATACATGTCCAAATCCTACCTTCAGCCTCAGCCACCCCAAGGACCTGGAGCTCGTCACGCCCGACAAATGTGCATAGAGTCCGCCAGCTCTATCGCTCAACTTCTATGCTCTTACGAAGCACGGTATTCTCTACGACGCATGAATATCCAAGCCGTAGCCATCACTTTCTCTGCGGCTCTACCGCTCCTGTTTACAACAATATCACATCAAATTTCACGAGAAAACGAGGTGTTTGGTCATTTGGGGACTTGCTTTCGAGCGCTAGATGAGTTGGGATCAACATGGGAGAGCGCTAAACGAGCGCGTGACTTTATAGCCAGGTTACAACGTCATTGGGATACCCAGTACAGGTCGAGCAACTGGCCCGGTCGCTCAGGAAAGAGTCAAATTAGATCAACAGCTTTGGGAGAAGGACCGCAGGCTTCAATTGTGTCGAATGATGATGGAGGAAGCACCGTAGAAGTTCCCCGGGGAGGGAGCCAGTGGACTGGTTTCAACAACTCTATGGGCGTGGACTTTGATCTTGATTGGATACTTACGGCGGATCTGCAAGGAATGTCTCCGGACTGGGGGAGCTTCTTTTCCGTCACATCAGGGGGCATGCTATCGAATAGTTCGCTAGGCCAATAATTTTGATACTACGGAGTACAAGTCATCACCTAAAGAAATGTACAGCATATCCAGGGCGCTTCAACCTGCCAAGCGTAAAGCCGTGGCATGTTCGAGAACAACATTCCTGTCATAGGGATCCTTTCCGTTTCCCGCGGCCGATTTCTAGTGATTCGGGAAATAGGGCACTTCTCCGACCAACGAAAACAAGACTACGGAGCCTCGGCCTCTGGTGCGCGAGGGTTGTGTAGAATCCCAGGATGAGAAAGGTCTCTCCGACTATGCTCAGCTTGCTCGTCAACAGCCTCCCCGGTCTCGGTCCGTCCCTGCGGGGACTGATGGCCGATTCCCCGCCGGATGGGCGGCAATCGATGATCGGAACTACGTCGCCGAGTCAAGTGTACTAACGGGACGATGACCAGCATTTTCCGACCCCGATTCAGTCCCCACTATTCGGTGTTCGGCCAGCTAAGCAAAATTTCCAGACACGACAGGACACGTAATGCAAATAAAGATGTTGTATGCGTAGACAGTGAGGCATGGGCTGGTGTAGTAAATTTTTCAAACTGTTCAACTTGCGAAATCCTGAAGACGCAGTAGATCAAGATGTCCGCCGTAAGTACTCTTCCTACTCCGGACGAGTTGAAGTATGCGATTCAACTTCAATCAACAGTCGAGCATTCAATGCTAACCTTTGACTTGCGGCATCCAGACTCATATGCGCCCGATAAACCACGTCGGCGTCTCCGTAAACGATATCGAAGCCGTAACGAAATGGTACACCGAAGTCATGGGCTTCAAGGTCCACGCCAACAAGATCAAGCACATCAGGCGCTCCGAAGACCCCAACAACGGCATCTTCAAGATCTACCCCTCATCACTACAAGAAGTCAAGCTAGCCTTCATGGCGACCGGCAACGGTGTTGGCTTTGAGGTCTTTGAGTTCTTGGATCCTGTCTACCAGAGGGTCGAGGAGTTTGAGTACAACCGTGGTGGTTTCTTCCATCTCTGTGTGACGGACCCCGATCCGCAGGCTCTTTTAGCCAAGGTTCTCAGCAAGGGCGGGAGCAAAGTTGGTGATGCTATCGTCAATATGCCCAGTGGGTCGAAGTGTCTGTACTTTAGGGATCCTTGGGGGAATGTTATTGAGGTTTTGGATATGAGCTTCGATAGTATGGCGGGGATAGACACGGCCTGATATACATTCATGCACGAGTGCTTCGTCGAACGACTCACACGCTTTGAAGCGCTGCCCAGAACACAGGCAGGTTACCCTAAGCCTTTAAGTTTACTTTCTTATCGCAAATTACAATTTACAATCGATACAAGAATTTTTTGTGAGGTGGTAAACCGAACACGTCCACTTGTTCAAACCATGAAAATGAGGCAAGGGACTTGATGCCCTCTTCGTACTTGCTTACTACCTGGACACTCGCTGCCGCCTCCAAAGTCGCGCAAGTTTGAAAATTCGAGGGGCCACTCAGAGGGTCCGAGAGTTCTCTCACTCGAAACAACCTTTGGATACTGAATGGGTGCGTGAATTTGGTCTCGAAAGCACTCGACGCCATCCCTTGAGAGGGAAAGACGCTCACATCTGAGCTCTCCTTGATGGTGACACTCTCTGTCAAGAGAACCAGGTGCCGGGGCTTGCCATGTATGCAGGCCTTGTCTCGTAAGACGGCAACACAGACCCCTCAGTTGCTGCAGAGCGTGTAAGCGACCTGTCTGCATGATATGATCAACATACAATATCCTACATGGTACGCCCGAGTGCGGTGTTTCGTAAGAACCTGTTGGTTGTACTTCATATTGTGCGAAGTTACGTACTAATACTAGTTAGTCGCTACGTACAGTAGACGGCGGATGAGGGGAAGCATAAAGTGACCTAGTGGGGGACAGAAAACGAGCGACTCTCTTGGGGGAGGTGAGTGAGTGAAGCATTCTCGTGTTTTCTGTCCCCCCGCGCAGGGCCAAGTCGAAAGAGTTGGGGCTAACTTCCTCTCGCATCAGCAGCTGCTCATACCAGCCGCACTTGGTCTGGTCCAGAACCTCGGTTTCCCTATCTGTCTGGGCCAATCATGTTCATAAGTCCTATCTAGCTTGAGTCTTGCCGGACCTTGGGGTTTCAGACCCTGGGCCAAGAACGGGCCAAGAACGGACCAAGTATTGGCCTTATGTTTCCTTCCTCATCCTCCTATTCACCACCTTTGCCGGAGCCCGTCGAACGTGGCATGTCGAGGTACTGACTCGTGCAATTCTAGGACCATTCTGTTGAGCATCACTCATTGACCCCCCATTTAGCCGTTACCGAATACTACGAGTTTGGACTCAGATGGAATCTGTAGAGGGACATTGAGGGGCATCAAGCAGTCAAAAGCAAAACAAAACAAGGCAAGCATAGCAGGCCAGATAGCGTACTCGAACAGGTGGGAGATAATCGGGGTAACTTGGAGGTGATGATCAACCATAATGCGAATGAGTCAGTCGAGCCAACAATCCCCACACCACTCGGCCCCCTTGACCCCCTTGCCCCCGGGCACCGCCGTTGGGTGAGGGCGGAGAGGGCGATAGTCGGACATCCGCGTCCGCGTCGGATTTCGAACCCGATGGTGCATGTTACGTAGACGGTAGCTGGCACCACAAAGGAGCTGGGACCTCAGCATTACCCCGGACATCACTCCACTTTACCCCAGAGATCACGCAAGCTGAGAGGGCCAACCCCAAGAAACTAAGAGAGGCCAAGTTTTGATAGGACTAGGAGATGGGGATATCTAGTGGAGATGCTGCCTATGACGTCATCATCGGCCCCAATTTCCGTGTCCTATCACGAGATTACCCATTACCCCAGGCTGCGATAGTAGTGTCCACATCCCCTTTATCCCCCGCGAGACCCGGGAGTACCCCGGACAGTACCCCACATTACCCCAGAGCCCATTGTATAAAGACTTGGATTAATGTCTTCCCCAGTGATCAACATCTCCATCACTCTTTACCTCTTTGCCTCTTCACCTCTTCCAACTTTCTTCACCGTCTTCCATCACCTCAGGACCTGGCCTCCTCGAGCTCTAGCAACAATGGTGTCTCGCGATGAGGTCGACCCGGCTCGGTTGAGGCAACAATCTGTCACTCAAGCATGGCAAGATAAGGTTGAGCACACTCAACATGTTGACGCTCTTGTCATCGAAGCCGAGAACGAAGACAAGATGACCCCATACCTGGCCTTCTTGATTCTTACAGCCGCTCTTGGTGGATTCCTGTACGGCTACGACACCGGTGTTGTCGGTGTTGCCCTTCCTTACGTCGGAAGCGAGTTGACCGGCAAAGACCTCACCTATCCCCAGCAAGAGATCGCCACTGCCGCCACCACTATCGGATCAATCTTCGGAGCAGCCATCTTGGGCTTCTTTGCCGACAAGTGGGGTCGAAAGCCCTGTCTGTTGATATCTGATCTGTTCTTCACTGTTGGTGCCATCATCATTGCTTTCAGCTTTTCTCTTGGCCAGGTCGTCGCTGGTCGTCTCATCCTGGGTGTTGGAGTTGGCGGAGCTGCTGTCATTTGCCCTCTTTACATTACTGAGCTGGCTCCGACCAAGGCCCGTGGACGATGTGTTGGAACAAACGGTTTCTGCATTCCTTTTGGCCAGACCGTCAGTGTCGCTATTGGTGCCGGTATGCAACACACTAAGTACAACTGGCGCATCCTTTTCGGCCTTGGCGTTGTGCCATCGCTCATCCAACTCTGTCTTATGCACAAACTCCCAGAGTCTCCTCGTGTTCTCATCCTCCGTGACCAGGACGACTAGGCTCGCGAAGTTCTCAAGAGGATTTACAAGTTCGCCTCACCTGAGATAATCGAGCTTAAGTTGCAGGTCATCAAGGATCATGTCGCTGCCACCACCGCTCTACAACGCACAACCACTTTCTGGGAGCGCTCCAAGAAGCTGTGGACTCACAAGCCGTACCGTCGCTCCATCTTCACTGTCAGCTTCATCCAGGTCTTTGGTCAATTCACTGGTTACAACACCCTTCTCTACTACGCTGGCACTCTGTTTGGACTTCTCGGCCTCTCCAATCCTTCCGTTGGCGGTTTGATCCCATCCATTACCAACACTTTCTTCCTTCTTCTCGGTATGGTCATGGTTGATCGCATCGGTCGCCGTGGTCTCCTGATGAAATTCGGTCCCATCATGATTGTCGGTCTCACTTGGTGCCTCATTGCCTTCTACTTCATGTGCAAGCCTACAGGAGGATTTCTCGATGAAGACTACAAGTATTCCCAGAAACTTGTCGGTCTTGTCATTGCCGGAATCGTCATCTTCGTCACCGGCTTCGGCTCTACATATGCTCACTTGTGTTGGTATCAATCCGAGTACCTTGCTCTGGAGATTCGTGCCGCAGGTAGTGCCATCAGCACCACCGCGAGCTTTACGGCCAACCTAGTCGTCTCCGTGTCCTACCTCAGCGAGTTCGTACCCCTTCTTATTGAAGCATTGATTATTTGGCTGACTTGATCCAGACTCGAAACGATGACTCCCAGCGGAACATACGGTCTATACTTGTGCTTCATCTTGACTGGTCTTGTGCTTGCCTACTACTGCTACCCTGAGACCAGTGAGTAATGGCCCTGAATATAACAACGAATTGATACTAATATTTCCTCTTCAGAGGGCCTGTCGATCGAGGAAGCCTTTACTCTCTTCCAGGACGATTTTGGTGTTAAGAAATCTAAGGAGATGCGACGAGAGAAGCTTGCAATGCAGAAGGAATATAACTCACTTGGCGGCCCTAAGACTCTTGGAGGAATGGTTAAGGCGGCAGCTGCTCATGTCGAGAGTGTATCTAACTGAGAGTTATAATATAACGTTACAACCTACCCTTCTACTGTGACGGGAGAAAAACACCACAACACAGCACCCGCCGGAAGCTACCTTCCAAAAGGGCCTCGGAATGAGCAAGGGACAGGGTCTCGAATCAATTGAGAGCTTTGAGCTGCAATTGGCAGCAACACAGAGCTTTTCACGAATAGAAAACAAGATAAAGCATTTGATCAAATGAAAAGAAACACAATATTTGCGGAAAGTAATAGTGATCGAATTGAATGGATGTAAAAGGCATGATGAAAAAGCTAGCTGGTTGAGTCGGACTTCACGAACCTTTTATCTTTAATTGCCCCCTTTAGGCAACTTGGTCCAACTAATTGTCAGATAAAATGCAGATGCAACACAGTTGCATCTGCGCTGGAACGCTGTTGAGACAGAACGCCTGCTGCAACAATGGAACGCTGGTGCCACACATACACAAGAGGATGTGTACAATAGAGAAACATAAAAGGCAGAAATAAGGCAGATAGCAAGAACAGACACAGCTCAATGATCTTCATAATCTACATCATTTGATCGCATGTTTCCTCCGTTTATCTTACAGTACCCGTCCGCCTCTGATCGCCACCACAAGAACTCTGTATGACGCACGGACCACTTGCGGTGATTTGGGTGCGGGCTCTGAATAGTAAGCTACAGTGGGGTGCAATTAGTTTGAATCCAAATCTAAGTACCGCTAAGAATGAGCTAGCTTTATTAGGCTGCATTCTACCACGCCGCCCTAAGAACACCTAAGCAAGCAGAAGGAGTCATATCGAAATATGGAGGTTAGGATTCCCGGGTGAGTTCGGAGTACAAACTTTGTTGGAAACAAAGCGAAAACGACATATATGATAGAAGAAGAGAAACTCAACTCAATGAGCATGGTCCCATATTTTTCTCTACTCTGTGGAATAAGTTATTGTGGTTTGGAATATTCAATCGATTGATGTTGGACAAGTTGATGGCTGACATAAGGAAAGTCTTGGCTCAGATAAATTCCAAATAGGAAAGGCGTTGACCCACATAAAAGGTCTTGGCTCACATTTAATTCAATCGGGTTTAGCGCAGTAGCTACCCTGGACTAGAGCGTCGAGCGTAGAGCCTGACGACCGACATAAGGGGAAGCAAAGCCAGTTGCTGGCAGCATTGTCTTCGACCAACCCTATACACAGGCGAGGATTCATCCATTCATCCATTGTCTATCCATCATCACTATTACCCAATGTTGGCTAGCTAGAGCTGTCGCACTCTCATGTTTCCTCTACCTTCTCTTTCCAATCCAACACAGGAGATGCGTGGCTGGCGATAGTATTCACATCAGACGAGTAATTCTGAACACATAGTCTTAAAAGACATCATGATCGACATCATGACTAGAGGAGGACTGGGATTGTCTCAACCTTTGGGGCTATTAGGTAGCGGTAAAGTGAAGTTGTCTGGTAATGACGCAAGTTTAAGGGCCGGAATCACAGAAAAGCTGGGTTTTATACTACAGGAATAAAGTGTACTCGGTGGGATGTTTCATCCTGCTCTTCCAACCCCTGCATAGATGGATGGCTGAGGGGGAGAGAGGAGCAAAACCCCCCAAAAAAGCAAAGTTTCATTGTTATTGTTATGTAAGCCGTAACAGTCTTCAGTAAAGGGGGAAGTCATGCTGCTGTGTCGCGTCACCGTCCGGGGACAAGCATTGCAGTGCAAGTCTTGTGGAAGACAATGTCTCAACCAGCGCCGAAACGTCGAGGCCGCCCCGCCAGAAAGGCGCCGCAAACCGAAGAGCAACGACTTGCGTCCCAACGCGCGCGATCGCAGCGATACTACCAACGACAACACGAGCAAGCCGTCAGTTCCCATCGCACACCGGCCGAGTCGCAACAGGTGGAATTTATACATCATCATCATTATCATTGCCCACCCCATCCGCCCGCTATACCGTCGACTACGGATCCGGTTATTGGCCTCCACCTAGAGCCTCCGAAGCGGGCCCGGCCGGAGCACCGTGCAGCCCACCACCTGTGGGGGATAATGAGCTACATGATACACCATCCCAATATTGCCCGGCTGAAGAAGAACGGAGTCAGTGTGGCCAGGAGATACAGGATCTCCTGCAATCAGTTGAGAAAAGCCTTCACATCTCAGTATCATCAGTCCAAGGTATCTATCCCGACTCCTTCGAAGCGGTATCCTGAATCGCAGTTCGGGCCTGCTTAGCTGATTCCAAACTACAGCTGATGATTGCGACGACGACGACGACGACAACGACCATGATGATGGATGCGACGATGATCGCGGATTTATCAACCACCCTCATCAAAATCCCCCCGTTCCTGAAAAATCGATCTCTACTCTCGAAAAGTATCTTGCCCAAGATGGAAAACGCATCCGAGCTGCTCAAGCGAAGAACATGAAGCAGATCATGGTAGCTTGGTCAACGCCGGCCGTCACCACTCCTGCAATTCTCTGGGAGATGTTATCGTTCGGCTGGATGGACTGATCAATGACGACCACGATCATCATCCGCTCCCACATGTCACCGATCCTTCTTCTGATCTTCTCGGTCATGCCTCTCAACTCGAGAATCTCCACGGTAGCGACCCTCCTTACGATGCGCAACAGCCCATGCACTCGCACTACCGTGATTTCCGAGCAGCTTGTCAAGTCACACTTGAAGGATCTTCAAGCGATGGCACACCACCGAGTCTCTGCCTCCCAACCAGACACCGCCTTGCACAGCCCTTTACAGATGACTTCATTCAAAAGACCTACGACATCGATAGCATTTGTAGTTTTCCCTCCTCCCTAGCTGTCGTCAAGTTAGGTATCCAATGGTACCCGCAACCCTATGTCATCTTCAACCTCACCGATGATGTACATCTCAGCATCGACATTCCGAGCAATAGCTTTCATCAAACCAACGCTCAATCGCAGGGAACTCCCGACCAACGACGACCGTTACATCATGTCCCTAATTATTGCTTGGGACGAATGCAAGGCTTGGTCGATACATTCATCTGGGTATTCTTCCCAGCCTTATGCTGTCGCCACACCGGTACACATGACAACCCGTACATGCGGACCTCCCTCCCCAGGGACCAGTACGCGCTTTGGTATGACCAGATCCTACTACCGGCGATCACCGCAGCAGTCCAAGACCCGAACATCCTTCAGTACATACCAAAAAGCCGCCGAATCGCTCAATCCACCTCGCGCGCCCGGCAGGAGAGCATCTCGACTGAGCGCCTCAACGAGCAGAATGCGAATGCTGACGTACTTGGGCAAGGCAGCAGGAGCAACGCGCTCTCCTATGTCCTCCTACACAGACACCTTGAGGCCATATAGCAAGGGGTCCAATCACACATAGCGACGTTTCCCCAGTTCGCTGGCATAAGACTCTACATAGAGGCCAAGAACTTAAAGCTTGCCTACATGCATCCCGACATCACTCAAACCATCAGCGACTGGCGCAACCAATGGAATGCCGCCGTTGACGAGAGATTCCTCGACCCCGGTAGTACATACGTCGACATTGGCCGTCAATATACCCCTCAAACTGGGGCTGTCGCCGAGGCCAATGTGCTCCTCTGGCGTCGATGTTGTCTGAAGCGCCTCTGGCGGCAGCGGCAGGCGTGGAGTCTTTGTTATAATACGATGAGACTTGTTGGGCAAAACCCGCCCGAGCCTTCGGAGCCACTCAAGTCTGGTGTCTCTCCCTCCGCCAAGCCGAGTACCCGTGGGCCACGATGCGCGACGCTGACATGACCATCACGCCCACGCACAAGAGCCGTGAGGTTCTCGAAGGCCTCCTGTATAGCCAGTTTTACAATCTCGTCAAAATTCCATTGGATGCCGCTAGACAATATCCGTTTCAGAATCCCCAACTCGAGAAGATGGCCCTAGATCCGTCGTACCTGGCTGATTGCAAAGGCTCTACCCGTGGGAGTCACGCCAATCAAGCCTCTCTCAACTCGCATACCGCCTGAGTAAGCTTCGCGTTAGAGCCGGCTTGGTCCCGAGTGGTGAAGACGTCATTCCTATCCCGTTCACCTATGGGGTTCGAGCCGAAGATCGCCTATTGGGCGCTCCTCCAACGCATCCTCCCTCACTTAGCTTCTTCCCAGACGGCGGCGAAACTGGTCATCATCAGACATCCACCAACCGGAAGCCACCTTTCTTCACCATCCAATCGAGAACGATGTCGCACTTCCTGCATAGCAATATCAACAGGTATTGCTTTCTCTTCGAGTACATCAAGTCTCAGACCGGGCCTAGGTACTCTCTGCCTGAGACTATCGTTATGGCGGTGGCGCTTCGAAGCCTGTGTTTTAACATGTCTGGTATCATCGCCAGGGAGTCAGTGTTATGGAGAGATCGGTGGAAATCGACCCGACATACCACCACGCGAGATGGCCAGCGGCAGGATATCGAGGTCGAGCACGAGGGGCTTGGTCTTTATAAAACCTCACAAGACTACGGGCTTGGCTGGTGGCTCCCAGGCAAATTCGACTGGGATAATTGGCGATTCAAAGGCGATGCTGGTGATCGACTGACTGTGGGTAATGGCATCCTACAGCGTGATTATGGCCGTCAATGGAGGGTTATCCAGGACATCCGTGACGTCCACGCACGCATGTGGCAGGCCCAGAAATGGGCTCAGCGCTACTCCGTCCGAGAGTTGCCAACCAATCGGTGCATCTGGCTTGAGTACTTGTATAGCACCGTCATCGAGCTCTTCCAGTGTGACGTCTGGCGTCATTAAATAAATTCGTAATCCCTAAACACCCAGAGCATTCTTCTTAAACCAGGGCCAGTAGACGTCCTCCGCCCATCGAGCGATCCGTTGCAACCCCCAGACGATCTTGTACACACCCAACGCGGTGGTCGTGGAGCCAAATCCCTGTTCCAGCCATAGGATTGTCTTGGGCCCTTCTCTCGTCGTGGCCACGAAGCTCCACTCATGTCCCTGTACCACAATACCCGGTAAAAAGGGTAAGCCGTCGAATGTCCCCCCGGCGTCTGATACCAATCGTGACAGGAACTTCCACTGGGCAGTGTGCCATGTACCTATCTGTAGCTCGGCTTCTTGTTGCGCACCGCCTCTTTTTTTGGTTTCGATACTAACGACCATGGAACGGCTGCGGAGGGGGAAGAAATCCGTGTGGTTGATGACGCCACAAGGCAGAACTCGGCGCAGCGAGCTGATGGCATCGACAGCGGCCTTGGTCTCATTAGTTAAGGGGCCAGCATCTGGGGCAAGGTAGATGCTAAAGTCAACCATCTTGGCCGGGGAATCACAAGGGAGGTACTCCTTGATGATTTTTGCGGTAGTACTTGAGACGAGTATTAGTCTTGGAGGAACATGAACAAACGTGAAATCTATGACATACCAAGCTGCTACACCGACCAATTGTTTCTGTCGCCGTTGACCATAAATGGCCTTGTGCAGGAGCGGAAAATGGACGCCCATATTCCAGCCAGACTCGGATTGCATTGTGTCCTGGCATTCTCGAGCCTCTTCCAAGATCCACATCACATCGGGAACTGAGGGTGTAGGGCCAAGTGTGTCGCGGGTTTCCGGGTCTGCATACATGAAGTCTCGGAAGAGGGAAAAGGATCGGTTGGCCTGGGCTTGTGCTTGGATCTCATCCTGTGTTTCGGCCGAGGTTTAACTTGGATGTTCCAACGAGAGCTGGGGCAGATGGGGAAACAAACCTTGCATGACCGGGAGACGACGCCGAGCCCGTTGCTGCAGAACTCGAGTTCGGAGAGGATCTCGGCCAGAGTTTCTGGCAAAAGCGGATTCGTCAGCGACATCACCCGCGTCTCGATGCCGTCGTGGTTTAGCTCCAGGGTAGCGAGCCTCTTCGTGGGAGATGAGCGCCCTGACGTGTAAGACTGCGACTCGGATTGGGAGGAGAGCGAAGGTATTGGTGAAGCCGTATGGGTGCGATGCGCTCGTCGTCGATTCTGTCGTTTCGTGGGCGATGCCGAGGCTTCGGGGACACCGCCAGGTAGGCCTGTCCAACTGCTGTTGGCCCTCGGCGTTTCATCCTGTACATCGCCATTGTCGACCCCACCGGTGGATTCCTCCAGTCTCCTTCTCTTAGGCGTCGGGGGTGGACTCTCCGACATGGGCCGTCGCCTTCTGCTATATGACTCGGATTCGGGCGGCGAGAGAGGGTGTCGCTGATTGAAGAGTTTCGTCTCTTCCTCTCGGTGCAGTAGACAGTCGAGATTGTTGGGATTGGGTTCGGCCTGGGAGAGCCAGTCGAGGATTTCATCTGACGTTATCATCGCATCGCTAATAGCATCGTCGCAATCGTCGCAACGGAGCCTTGCTGCTGGCGTCGGGGCGGATAGCTTGGTTGAAGTGGTTGTGATAACATTTGTTGGTGGTGATGACTCGTCTCCTGGACAACCATCGCTGACTCAGCCGTAGATAATAGCGGGGGTGGACTGCAATGGCCCTATGGGGTTTGTCCTTCCGGGCGAAATAAAATTCATTCCATTGGCTCCTCCGCGGTGACGATGCTGACTAAGAGCTGTTGACTGTCAAGCGATCTCGGTGACGGACATGAAGTCCCTTCTGGCCAGCGACGACTCTCACCTCCACGCGGTGCTGGCTGGGAACCTGTGAATGCCTTTGCCTGGGGGCATTTGCAGAGCTAAGAAGAGTCACCACAAGCCAGCATTTGTCTGCTGGTTTGGGGTACGGTTGCATGGAGGGCTTGCGAGCCCTACCACCCACAAGCCACAGGGGAACACTTTAAAAACCATCCGACCCACGACCGCGAAACCGAGCCTACAATCGATGGACACACGGGTCATGGAATAGGACACCCTTGGGGTGCTTTCGGGCTGCTCTGTTGAAAGGGGACGGGGCGCGTCGAGACAGAGGCAGGAAAGTGGACAGCCACAGCGAAAACGAGCGATAAGAAGCGACGCCCTCGAACCCGCACAGAGAACGACGAAGCACCTTGGTTAGTAGGAGGGGCGACACTGTGTCGCTTGGCTATTCTGGTTAGAGAGGGGATACAAGTGGACGAACTCCTGCGTGACACGGTCGGCCTTGCAAGAGAGATCTTGCGAGGTAGCGCGAAACAGATCTGACAATCTGCGGGCGCAGCATATAATGGACGCGACGGAAGACTGGATGGGCGGATCGCAGTTACGACGCTTTCTATATGGCTCGAGAGGACGGACGCGCGTGTCGGTCTGCTGAGAGACAGAACCTTGAAGGTGGCTAGCGAGGATGGAGCCTCCAATTTGGCTGTTGGAGTAGGCTTAAGGAGCAAACCGGTATTGACTTGCGAACCGACGTGCCCCGCACAAGGAGCGGAATAGGATCGAAGGGGATGCAAGGTAGAGGGTCTATGTAGGTAGACGTGCTGCCACCTCTACGAGATATTTTCTCTGAGAATACAATCAATACTTGTCGCACGGCAACAATTCAAATCAACGGCGAGTCATCAGAGGTTCGAGAATTACCGCAAGCTGGCCTTCCACAAGGCTCTCCACTGTCTCCGATCCTGTTTCTTTTCTTCAATGCGGATTTGGTACAGCGGCGGATCGACAGCAACAGAGGGGCGATCGCATTCGTGGACGATTTCACAGCCTGGGTCTCAGGTCCAACAGCACAGAGTAACCGCAAGAAAGTCGAATCAATCATCAAGGACGCATTGGACTGGGAGAGGAGGAGCGGTGCGACGTTTGAGGCGAACAAGACGGCAATCATACACTTCACCCGGAAGGACTACAAGTCCGACTCCGAGGCGTTCACAATCAAAGGACGGATAGTCCAACCGAAACACCATGTCAAGATTCTGGGAGTCATTATGGATGCTGGGCTTAAGTATAAGGAACATATCGCCAGGGCAGCTTCCAAGGGATTAGTAGCAGCAATGGAACTGAAGAGGTTGAGGGGCCTGTCGCCAGCAACAGCAAGACAACTGTTCACATCCACTGTAGCCCCGGTGGTGGACTACGCTTCAAATGTGTGGATGCATAGGTTCGTAGACAGACTCATGGGACCGATCAATAGGGTTCAGAAAGCAGGAGCACAGGCAATCGTTGGGACGTTTAGTACTGTGGCGACAAGCGTGGCAGAAACTCACGTCAGGGTTGGGCTGGTCGTAGGGGCTGGGAGCGTTGAAGCCCATGGGAGGCATGTAGCCATATGTAATGTAAGAGGTTAGCCCGTCATCGCCGGGGTACGATTCGCGCTTGATGACGTCGCTAAAGTGCGTCATCGAGGGATGCGCCATGGGAACGGTGGAAGCCGCGAGGAAGTTAGGATAGACGACAGCGATGGCCATTATCGGGTAGTGCTGAGCGGAGCCGTAGGGAGCGAGGAGTATCTCGTTAGGAGCCGGGTAAGTTGAGTAAGTGAACTGGGGAGGGCTGTCGGAGCGGGCCCGGTCGTCGTAGGTGCCAGGGAAGAAGAGATTGCCAGTCGGCTCCATGGAAGGAGTGAATTGGCCCTGAGAGACGACAAGCTTGGCCGGGGTAGTGGGCTGCGATTTTCGGGACTTGGAGGAGGAGGCATCCACGTCCACTTATTTCACGGCAGTCCATTAATGCCTTTGACCATTCTCATGACCCTGAGCAAACAATGACTTCGTCGTCGTTGTCGTCTTGGCTGGATTCAGGTGAGAATCGCAGACGTAGTCTCTGATCTCCATTGGGGCTGAATCGGGTCAGGTGAGTTGGGCGTTGACAGAGGCGTGATAGAATACTCGTAACCGGCCTCCGAGCAGTTGGCCGAGTAGTCAAAAGAGTTAGGAGTCTGCAAACTTCATCAGCAACGTGGGTCTCGAGCTACCTATCTCGTGGGCCGCTTGACTGGCATAACAGGGAGGCAAGAAGCTCAAGCTACGTCTCGAGGACCTCGAACGCCGTGCTGGCTCTTCTGATGATGTCGAGTCCGATAAGCAGCCCCAGGAGACCACCAAGTCGAAGCGATCTCCCTCCTCCTCCAAGTCCCGAAAGTCGCAGCCCACTACCCCGGCCAAGCCTGTCACCTCTCACGGCCAGTTCACTCCTCCCATGGAGCCGACGGACGCTCTCTTCCCTCTTGGCACCTACGCCGATCGGGCTTGCTCCGGCCGCCCTTCCAAGTTCATTTGCTCAACTTACCCTGCTCCCGACGGGATCCCCCTCACTCCCTACGGCTCCGCTCAGCCCTACCCGATAATGACCACCGCTGACGCCTACCCCAACTACCTGGCGGCTTCCACCGTCCCCATGACGCTTCCCTCGATGACGCACTTCAGCGACGCAATCAAATGGGAGTCGTACCCGGCCGATGACCGGCTGACCCCTTACATGACTTATGGCTACATGTCTCCTATGGATTTCAACGCTCCCAGCCCCTACGACCAGCCCAACCCTCACGTGAGTTACACCAGTCAAACCCCCCTTCAGGATAGCTCGAGATCCATGTTGCTGATGAAGTTCGTAGACTCCTAACTCTTCCGACTACTCGGCCAACTGCTCAGAGGCCGGTTACGAGTATTCTATCGTGCCTCTGTCAATGCCCAACTCGCCTGACCCGATTCGGCCTCCAAGGGAGATCAAAGACTATATCTGCGATTCTCACCTGAATCCAGCCAAGACGACGACGACCACCAAGTCATGGTATGCTCAGGAACATGAGCACGGTCCAAGGCATTCAATGGAGTACGGTCAAGTAAGTGGACGTGAAAGGAGACTGCTTTAAGCGGGCAGATAGGCGGCGGTCGTCTTTCTGTTGGGCAAATATCTTCGAGCCATAGAAGAGAATTAGATGATGAAAGTGAAATATAGTGTATGGATCACGAGCCACCCCAAGTTCTCATGTTATTGCGATTGGCTGATAAAACTGTGAGTCAATGAGTTATCCGAAAAGATCCAAGGTTTTCGACTTTGCTCTGACTGGCTGATGAATCCTACCCGAAACCCTAACGCCAACATATGTAGGGTGGCTCGTGACTGCCACAGCAGAAGTAGAGGATGTCGTCGAGATGAAGTTCCAGATGAGGAATCGCGGTATCTTGTGGGTTCGGCTATACGTTCTTGATGGAAGAACGATCAGATGTGTGGGACAGAGAACAGAAGAGGCCTTCTGTGGCTTCAATTGACTTCTGGTAAAAGGCGTGGGATCTGGAATAGAAGTTGCGAAGCTGGATTGGCAATACTTGCAAATGAAGACCTGAAGAGGGAGAAAGAATATCAAATTTAGCGTGTCCATCGTACAGGGCAGAGATCGTACCGGCAAAAAAGCAGGTGATACCTTGACAAAGGCGTTTAAAAATGGACTGAGGGAGTGATAAACGCGGGGGCTGTAGCCGTAGAACACCGCTCGCGTTCTCACAGACATGATACGTAAATCAAAAGTCGTCTTAGCGTGTTTTCTAGCAGGTAAGTGTTTCCGTAAAGCAAGCCTACCCTCCTAACTTTCTAATTGGGCACGCCACTGCAAGGAATTATATCCCTGCAATGGGGCATTCCCGAAGCAGAGCTTGGGTAAGTGTCCTCTTGGGTATAACTCTAGTCTCACTGTCGCAAAGAGTGGCAATGAAAGCTGCGATTCCGTATTCGAGCGCCTAGAGGATGGTTTCTTTTTCAACGATCAAAGGGAAAAGGAAGAAAAAAAATGATAGCCTTTGTTGTTAATCAAGCCAAGGTGCGGACACGATTCCTCTGTTAAACGATATTCCACCACAGCCGAGGAGGCGTCCCGACCCACATGGCCACCGTCCTTGCGTATATAACTGGGACCTTCGCCCCCCTGACTTGGGCTCTGGTCAAAGGTCAAAATATTAGACCCCATCTTTCCATCTACGTTTTGACACCGTCGATGCGAAATCTTGGGCTGAATGACTCCATGGTTCTGAACCCAGTGGATCCCATGAATTGCCATACTGGGGATGAAGTTGAAGATTCCTCTGAGGTTTGGTAGTTACCGAGTAATATCCTTCAAGAGGGGACAGCATAAAAAGGGAGGGGAATCTTACCCCAGGGCGATAATCGTCGAAGCCCAAAAGCGGTCTTAGGCCGGTGTAACACCGAGGTCAAGGCTACCTCGAGAAACTCCTTACACTCGTCCTGGAGCGGGGGAATCGTGACGCCAGAACCTCGACTCGCATTAAAGGTATCAAAGTCAGCAAAATACGTATAGAGCGCCTCGTAGGTATCGCATAATTTCTTCCACACCGTTGGGTCATTGAGGTACTTGAACACCATGCCTGGAGACCAGGAGTAAACAGTCGGAACCGGAAAAGCGGGTTGAGTAGAATACAACAAGGCAGGGAAAGCTGGAGGACGCTCCCATCTCTTTTGGTGACGAGAAGCTTCTGCTCCGCAGACATTCCTGCGTATGTGTCGAGAGCTGTGGACCGCTTGCCGCCACACATGGAACCCTTCATGCGGTTGAGCCGGGCCACCAAGATGGTGAGGCTACCGTGGTTCTTCACGTTGCCCAGCTAGGCAAGCCGCAGGAAGTCGAAGGCTCCGAGACTGTCGAGCTTCCAAGCATATGAGCTGTCCGCCTTCTGGATCCACTCCGCCGTGATGCTGCAGGGGACTTTGGGCTGAGGGTTTGACAGCGTCGGCACTGGTCCTCAATCTGACCCTTGTCCAGCAAGTGATTGGAGAAGTCAACAATGACCTGGCCTTCGAAGACGTGCTCGGCTGCGGTTGACCATGTGCCAGTGTCTTTGCCAGGTAATTGGGTGGGAGCCAGGTGCGTGGAATATGCCCTCGACCCTGCTGCAGCATCATCTCAACTGGTGGAAGTAACTTACTCCGATAGGTTGCCCGGACCTCTTCGAGGTTACTGTTTGCATCCTTCACCCACGCCGTGTCGTGCGGTTGCAAGGCTCTGGCCTCCCAGTCCGATCACGACAGGGACGTGTTGCCCCAGTAGCGTGAAATGCCACTCCACCTGCTGTTTTTCCGATACCTTCCCCTCAGCCTTTCCCATTTTCCGGGAATGCGGGTTGATTACTTGTAATTCTCCCCATAGAGTGCGTACCTTTAATTGCTGTCAGTAGATTGTCTGGGGCAGACCTAGATTTTCTTCAGTGCTCGTGTCGCCTTGCCATCTTTGCGTTTGTCCAGTCTAGATACGCCCTGGTCATTTGCGGACTCTTCCCTAGCTGACAGCGAGCCGGCCTAGAGATCTCAGGGCCAAGGGCCCTTGGTGTCAACTCTGGGGTGGCAGCTCTCGCACTTGGGAATGTCGCTGTAGCCATAGTCGAGATCGATGTTGGCGCAGCCGCAGCATATTTCGCCCTTGTTGCGGTTCTTGCCGCACACCATGCAGTTGGGCACGAAAACGATTCCTTGGAGTTTTTGATGGCCTTGGCCGCGTCGTTATTTAAATACATCATCGAGTTGACGTTGGAGTCTGAGCGATAGTCCCAGGCTCTGTCTTCGCCCATGGAAACCTGGTTACCATAGCAAGAGCTGTCACCTCCTTTGCTTTGCTGCTAAATGTCAGAGCGATCTTTGCAGACGGGTAGAAAGCGTGGCGCTTCACTATAAGGTTGCAATACTTATGCTGTCACTGACAGGGTAGGGATGAAGGCCTTTTCCTCCTATCCAATGGTTTGGCTGTTGAGCAGAGGTTGGTTGTGATTGACCATTTCTGCCTGCGAGTCGGGACTCTGAGAGACTACTCGTCATCTATTTCATAGGATTGCATTCTGAACATTATTCGAAGATTCGAGTTAGCACAATGGCCTTTTAGTACATTTCAACCAGCCACCCGGATAAGAAGAGGGTGAAGGGACCTACATGACGATAGTGCTCAGACACGTCGCAGGAGCAAGGTCTGGAGACGGGAAGAAGCTCCACGTCGTGGACGTGCTGTACTGCATCGACATCTGTCCCAGCCAGCCAACATTCTCTAAACCATGACACCAAGCAGGGCGCGCATGTTGCTGAAGACTAGGCCGACCTTAAGACCAAATACGAAGTAAGAGCTCAGTACAAACCTGCCACCGCTGCCCCCAGAGTTGTAGATAGTGTTGTCATTATCCATTGCAACCTTGTTGTCGCCACACTCGACATTCCTGGTGCCCAGCTTATCCTCTGGATTAGGCCGGATGTTCACGTTGAAGCCTCCAAAGTCCGAAATGACGCGAGTGCTGAGCTTTCCGTCAAAATAGGGCGCGCTGTGCCCGCTGGCACCCCCATCGGTGTCGTTGAACGATGCGAGCATATAGTCGACTTTCCCGTACGACTGGAAAGTCGTCCAAGTGTTTCCGGATGGGTTCAGCATGTGCCCCTTGAGCTTGGTGCGGTTGACTTTGGTGTAGGCTGGGTTGCCTTGTCGGCGTTGTCAAAGTCAACGTCGCCGACGCCTCGGACGGAAAAGGTCAGATCAGACTCTCCCTCTACATTGAACCAGCCGTTGGCTTGTTCAATTTTGAACACGCTGTCCATTGAGGCCTGAGTTGTCCCATTATATCCTATGCATGTTTGCACAAGAGCGAGCAGGCAGTCTGTGCCATGGGACTTGAGACTTACTTACAATCATGGAGAGGCTGTAGCTGAAACCGGCTTTGAATTTACCCTTAACATGGGCTCCAAAGCCAAGTTCGTAGTCCTCCCGTCGGACTCACAATTTCCGGCGGTGTCCTAGAAGATGGAAGTTTCGACTTCCTCGTTAATGTGTCTTTCCCCTTCGCTCTTGTGCGTTTCGGCATTTCTGTACATGTCTCACCAGTCGGCCCGGCGCTCTGCGAAGAATCGTTTTGCGATTCTGCGGCACAAAGATCACCTGACCGGATACCGGGAGGGTCGATAGCGGCGTGCCGGTAGCCTCCGACCCCGGAGTAGTCGATGCGGGCGTTGGTATTTCCAGCATCCCGTCGTGTGCGGTTCAGGTTCATGTCGAAGGCGAAGTCAAAGACCTTTGGCGTAGCAGCTCTGGGCGGGTAGACAGATGACAGGCTTTGATCTGCAAAAGACTTTAGTAGAAGCAGAACAGGCGGAGGCTGATAGATAGTTGCCGGTCTTCAGATTCTTTCAGGAGATCACTCGGGCCAAGGAGTTGGGAGCGCACTGTGCAAGTGCGTGTCAGCAAGACTGAGCAGGAAACGGAGTTCGAGGTGTTCAATTGACCTTATCGGGCATCTCTAGAATGGTGCCCTTAGCACTTCGCTCCATAACTCGGAAGCGGCCTCGACGTCCTTGCTTAGACACACAACTCTGGCTGTCTGGGTCTCGTGCTTGGGCTGGTCAAGCATGTACGGAGGGCAGTCAAAGAAGACCAGAGGCTCAGGCTCGTCCTCGTGCTTATTGAGCGACGAAACCGAGTGCGAGTCGCCGGTTACGAGGACGAAACTAAAACCAGTCTGGTTGGGATCGATCTCACCGGCATTGGCATTGCTGCTAAAGTGGATGAGAGCATAGTTGGTCTCCGCATCCTCAGGGGGGAGCATTTCAGCGGGGAGGAACCGCTCGAGGTTGACCAGCGAGACAGAAGCTTTGGTGCCCCCATTACGCTCGCCCTTGGGTATAGCCCTCAGAGCTTCGATATTGCGGGTGTCGAGATCGATAGCCCAGGTTATCAGACCATGGAGACCAATATTGCTGGCATCATCGATCTTCATTTGAAATATCTCGGCATCGTCGAAGCTAGGTAGAGAGTGAAAATGAGCAGAGATCATGCACCTGTTTCGCCCATTCATGAACTCACGAGATCCAGCTGTGGCCGCCGCAGACCTCGTACGATATCGGGCAGCGCCAGCCTCGCCAAAATACAGGTAAAGAGTTCCGCCGGTTTTATCCAGTATTTATATGATCTCTATTGGCCAGAAAGTGGTAAGAGATAGGGTTCCTTTTGTCTATTGGAGTGGTCAATTGGAGTGGTTTCACGCTTACTTACCGGCATAAGAGAGAATTTCAGCCGTGTTAGAGTAGCGACCGGGTTAGCCAGGGCCCTTGAAGCCGCAGCCGGGCTTCCAGGGCTTCCAGCACGAAGAAGATTCGAGCTCAGAGGATCGGCCATAGAAGCCCAAGCCGAGTACGATGTTGTACCGGTAAGGCTCCACGCCAACGCGCCAGAGCTGCAAAGGGCTCGTGTGTCAGTCAAAGGTGCCAGATAGATGCCGAGTGTTCCAGTGGCACTTACTAGGTTCAAGGCGTAGTCGATTTCGGTCAGGTTGGTATGCGACAATACTTGCTTTATGATAGGGTTGCCGCTGTCCCGGAACGCCGTGCAAGTCGTAAGACATGAGGTTAACCCAATCAACATGGGCCTCGATGCCCTTGAGATCGAAATGGCGAAGGTACCAGTCTGAAGAGGGCGCTGTAAAGGTGACAATGTAGTCGCGGCCGCTCGCGTTAATGGCCTCCCGCAGTTCTTTACGGGTAGGTCTCGGCATCCCCGTCTGAGCCGTCGCGGTCGTCAGCGCCGGGACATTCCCAGTCTGTGACAATGTCAGTAATCTTTCTGCACCGGAGACTCATAGCCTTAATTCGATCTCCAGAGACGTCACTCTTTTCGGACACGACTAGAGCTGTAAGAACTGAGGCAAGACTACCAGGGCAGGATATGAACAGCCCGCAAATGCAACCCTCATCGAAATCTGCGAAGAGCAATCGATTAGCATCAGATCCGAATCCCCTGTGGCATGATAATATATGATACTTACCGACACCGCCATAGCCATACTGGGAACGAAATCCTAAAAGGTTGTTGATCAAGGTGGCCCTGTTCTCCTTCTTCAAAGCGAGCGACGGGGAGATATCTTGCCATGGGTCGGGGTCGCTGAAGGCCCAACCATCAAGGGTAATGACAATCTTGAGATCCGGGTTCCTGGCCTTGGCTTTCGATGGCCCTGTAAATGTTAGATTCGATGGCTGATGATGATCAGGGGTTGGAATTGACGGAAAACCCAGGCGGACAAACTTTTCGCATATCCATACTTTTCTTTTAGATCACTGTAGGTATCCTGATCACCTTCGCGTCCTGCTCGAACAACTAGAGACTTACCCGAGAGTGCGCAGGCTTGCTATCCTCGCTGTCTCATTACCACGCCCACCAACAGTTGCCTAACAAGTCCTCGATTGACGCCTTACTCTCGCTCTTAGAAACCTCGCCACTGGATTTGGAGGTACCTTAAATCTCTAGCGAGGTCGCCAGGCGGCTTTGGTCGACTACCCGAGCCCGAGGTGAGGGATTGCTCAATAAAAACTGCATCCGCCATGTCGAAGGAAATTGTCCCTGAATGATCTTTCCTTGCTCCACCGAGGGGGTATGCTCGCACAAATGTAAGTCTGTCGGCTTCTCAAAACTCAGTGGTACATACTTACTGTCAATCATTTCAGATACGAACACAAATATCCAGCGGGTACTCAACCTAGTTCACACGAGCACTTCAAGACTCAGATAGCCCTTTGCTAACGGTCAGCTATGCATGCCGTGTCAACTCGTCGAAAGTTTATTCTGCAGCTTCTGTCAGCCAAGGAAGGTGGGCTGTCTGAACGACGATGTACGTGATTGCCGGCAATAGCCCTACAATCATCTGCGGGTACTGAGTCATCAGCACGGAGAAAAATCGAACTGACTATGATTCCAGCGTGGGCAAGTCCAAAATCAAACCCTGGACGGTACGCCTCGCAAGCTGCTGGAAGTTATTAGAATCGTGCTTTCCCATCGACCGAACATCGCGTGATGGTGGGAGGCCCTCTTTGTCGCTACGTAAGCAGGTCAGCGTTTCGATAGGTGATGAAGAAGATGAATGCCATCATTACCGGGTCTTGGGCACTCACTGCCTTCCTAGACGAGAAGAGGAGTTCAGGTGAGCAAGCCCACGTTGCAAACCCTTAGCCCTTCCAGAAGAATTCAATCGGTTACAAATACTGTCCTACAGAGACGCCGATTGGTTATCTCTCGTTTCCGCCTTTGAGAAAGAGAATTACAAGATGCGTGCCTCCCCGGAGGCCTGCGGCTTTGCGGTAGGGGCTGAGACGATATCTTTCTCGAGCTTAGTGACAAGGAATTGCTCGAGAAGAATGGCCTATTATCTGGAAGCCTAGGTCTTCTGGAGCTCGTTGTCGATCTAGTGAGCGTGCTACATGACATGGAGACAAGCTGGGTGCGTTTTCACGGAGTTAGCTGGACGACCAAGGTACATGATCCTGCCATTCCTAACGGTACCGTCCATGAGAGCGTCTTGAAGAACGAGGCCGATTGGCTCCCCAAATCCGGCTACGTATCTACATCGGAAGTTCCCACCGAGGTGCTCGAACGGAGACTATCTGGGCATGAGTTCTGTCACCTAGTAGTATTGGAAGACTCACAGGAACACCATCCCTGATACAAGTTGGGACTTTACCTTTATGAAGAACTGCCACAACAACAGATTTGAAACTTCCTTATTGGGGGCTTTTCGGGGTATCTTGGTGTGCTTTACTCTGGCGCAGAAGTTTAATGAGCAAAGTCAGCCGACCAGGCGTCAAAGATGTCAGGACTTGGTAAGATGTTCTATAGTCTTGTTGACATGCGCAATGAGATTATGGATGATGGATTAGCCTCTAACGAGCCTAACCGTTCCGAGTCATAGCACTTGACCGCTGAATGAGAGATCGGAGTGCCCTCTTGGTTACCTCTGTCGTCTTGCTTTGGCAAGGCTGGCAATGCAAGCTACGATGCCATATAAATGAATTTAGATGGTGACTCCTTTTCCAACGGCAAAGTAGAAGTAAAAGTAAAAGTAAAATAGAATAAAATAGAATAAAATAGAATAAAATAGAATAAAATAGAATAAAATAGAATAAAATAGAATAAAATAGAATAAAATAGAATAAAATAGAATAAAATAGAATAAAATAGAATAAAGGGATACGAATGCGTCCAGTAAGTCAAAAACCAACCGAATTAGATCTGTCCTAAGCAGTTGTAAGGATTTCCATAAAATTCGTATCGCTTGATCCGAAGCCTTGACTGGCGGAGCGAAAGAATACAAGGCGCATGCTTCTTGAAGGTAAAGGAAATAATTCCCTTACCCTCATCCCCAACCGCGCCAAGGGGTAAGCACAAGACCTTACCCGTGTCGCGAGTGAGTGAGTTGGATGGCTCGTTCTCTAGCCTCAATCACCAGCAGGAGCTGAGCGAGGAGTGTGTACTCCTGGGAAGCCAGAGATTTTTGTCGCTCCTATCCTTGACTGCAGTACAAGGGAACCAGGGTAAGGCTTTGCTTATTGTTGCTTACCGTTGCTTCCCTCGCTCAGCTAGTCGAACACGTGGGAAGTCGTCTGGCATGCCGTCAATTCGAAATCACGGCGAATTCGCATTCATCCTGGGATACACTCTGAGAAGCACCGAATGTTAGGACAAGCCCAAGGAGGTATATATAGTGAAATCGCCAGCCATTTTAGGACACTTGACAATGAGGCGAAACTGACTAGGTATCTTGTTGTGGGGCGGTGCAAATTGGACTTCAGCGGACGGTGTATCCTCTTTTCAGACGACGGACTAAAACGGCCCTCAGCCTAATTGTCCAAAGAGTAGTTCTCGACTGCTGTGCTGGGATTGGAATTTGCGACCACACAATCCGTTCGCCCCAATAAGCGAATGCCCTCCTCCTCTTGCCTTTTTGTTCCTACCATTCTTTCCTTCCCCGCCGCCGCCGTCCTTGTCGCCGCCCGTCTTGGTCTTTCAATTAGTTTTACGCCCGCTATTTCCACCTGACAATCAATCTACATTGTCTTCATGGGAACAGGTGCTTGCACAATAATGACGGCCGCCAGTGTCTTGGAACGTGCCAGGCACTCATTGGAAGGTTACTGGGAGTTGCTGACGTCGGACAAGAAGACACAATATCTTTTGATATGCTCGGTATACCTCTTGATCTTTGCGTATCACACTCGGCGCAGTCTGCCAGTCTACCATGCCACATTTCGCAAGCAAGGCTCCTTCTCACTGGTGCTACATATCCTAGCCGGTTCGTTCGAGCTTGTTCGATATTACACCCGGGCTGTTGATGGGAATGTGGTACCAGAAGTCCTCGACACGGTCGCATGCTTCGTCCAGGCATTCACAACTTTACGCCTCTCAAAGACCTTGTTGCGGGGCGACATGTCGACGCGACCATCTTACCAGGCTCCCGCATTGATGCGGCCCTTCATCGGACTGGCTGCCATCGTCTACCAGAGCGCCTCAATACACCGGGCATCAGTCAAGCTTCTCCACGCCTTCCTCTACACTCGAATGATCATATTCTTGGCCAAGAGGTTTGGTGTGGGTAAGATTCACTCGAACGCCACGATCTACGCGCACGCTGTTTTCCTGGGTGCTATTATAGCCATTGATGATTCTGGCCTGCCAGCCGGTGTTCCTGTTTACATCGGTATGGTAGGGGCTGTCATGGTCCTCAACCGATACGTTGCCAATCGTCTAGCCAGGTGTGTAACAATTAATGACCCTCTATCGATGCAACAACCTAATCCCGTCGATAGATCATCGGCCTCCGAAGTCTCCATGTCGATATGGGAAAGAACTCTGATGTGCGTGTTGCTCTGGCTAGGGCTGGCTAACCTAGAAGCCATCAAGGAACACGACCATTCTTCAAAGCCAACCCCGTCTGCGAACGACGAGTACGTCCAGGAAGGAATGTGAGGAAGGGAGGCGTAAGGGTTTGAAGGCCGCGAACGAAATTTCTCCCTTGCGCCTGGACGTAAAGATGCAGCGTTATTAGAGTCGTCTCGTAGAGGTACTCGCCGGTAGTTCATGGGCATAAATATGGGCGAAAGCAAGGCTGCAGTTTCTACGAGAAAAGCATACGTTTCCTGGAGGCCTGGCACATAATATCTGGTGATCATCCATTCCAAGAATAGTACCGATGGTATCAATCGGAGTCCCCGTAAAGAAGGACTCGCACATCAAACGGTTTGCGTGAAAACTCCCTTTCCCTGAGCAAGGCAGTGAGGACCCACGGCCCAATAATAACGGCACTTGAGCTGCCGAAGTGCCGCCCTAAAGGCATCCGTGTCGCGGATATAGCGAGAAAGAGGGTCGCACATTGTATGACTCCTTGGTCGGTTGCGAAACCCAGTTTGGATACATTTGAGCAGCTTGTGAAAGTATTGTCGTTACAATTGCCCGAAGTGTACGGAAACGCTTGGTAGTGTGAAACTATGAACTTACTGAGACTTGTCAAACAGGGAACTTCTTTCCAGCTGGCGCCCGCGGCTTCGCAGCTATGAGATGCGAGAGATGTTAGGTGAGCTACGCCATGTTTGCCAACTACTACTATACTCAGGTTCGCTCCTATTTTGATACACAATTTCTATCGGTGCATATCACCTTGGTCCTTTCTCCGTGACCAATCCTCCCCCACGGCGGGAGGGCAGGACTCTAGGCCATCACCATAGGAAATTTCAGTCAGTCGACAAACAGTATATTAGAGGTACCTTAAGCCGCGCCTATGTTTGCAATCATCTGTCGGTCATGTTCCCATCTCTGTGACGGGACAAGAGCACGAACGAGGTCGAGTGCGACTTGGGCAAAATGATTGTTTACAAGGAGAGACAGAGATTCCTAAGGAAAACTCTGACTTAAGCTATTTACACAATACCTATTCATAAAGTGAGACTATTCATAAAGTATGAAAGTCACATGATCGTTCCCTCACAGCTGGCTCAAACCTGCCCTCTGGCTGACCGAAGGTCAAGTGGCTGCATTGACGGAGACTATCGCCAAAGCCGTGCTTCTATGTTGACACAGTGAGAGGGTACTTGCAGGGCTGAATGTACGGTGGCGCGTCTTTGAAGTCGGCTTGATACTGGCATTATGAGGATGTGCCGAATGTTGCGGTCGTGGCTACTAGCCAGGGGTCTGCATCTATCCACCAAAAGTAGACGCACCATCTACTATTGATAGAAAGCTGTGCTTTCTACCCATTCTACCCTGCCTGCTGCCAAGCTTCTATCCCCTCTATCACGGCCTCATCAACGTAGATTCAAGTGGGTAGATTGCCAAGAAATCATCGATGTATATATACATCAAATGCCCAGTAATCTGGCAGGCAAATGAGGTACCAAAACCTCAGCAACGCCAGCAATTTCGTGAGGCACTCCACGTGGATAGTCACATCTATCCTGCTAGCAGACCAGCAGATCATCAGCCACCATTAATATCGCCTAACAACGTGAATATAAGCAAGAAAAAGTGATCAACAGATAAAGATAAGCATCCTAAATAGAGTGATACGTAGGAAATATACTAATGGCTTATAGTTTGGAAGGATACAACTAGGCAGGCAGAGGTAGCTTGGTCCTGCCTCCCTTCTATTGATCCTTCTATCCCTGAGCCAGCTGATCTATTAGATAGCAGGCATACCCCCTAATAGTTACCCAAACTGTATATATAATAATACATCACCCCGCTCTCAATAACTTGGCGTAGTAGGATAAAGGTAACCTAACCGCTCCCTTCCGTAGCTGTTTGACCTGATCTAACCTACTCTCATCCACCAGAGACTGTTAACAGCTGTCTTCTGTGATCTGATCCCCGGGGCAGGGCCCTGGTGAGATTAGGGAGAAGATGCCCTAAGGAAGGGAGGGTGTTCCAGTGATCCCGCCACGCCTTAGGTGATCACACCTGGGTTCCGGAGCTAGGGCGTGGTGGGATTACAGCCTATACCTGCGGCTGACGGGGCAATTGTGAGGGAACGATCATGTCCCGTCACAGCAATCACTGACGACCGATGAAGATATATTTGGACGGCAAGAAAACCCGGCACTGTCTCTAGAAACTCTTCAGTGCTTTCGAGTTGACATTTAATACCAGCTTCTAGCATCACATTTTAAGTGTGAAGTGCCTGTGGCGAAGACCGTATTACTACGTGCATAAAGATGTTGGCGCAGTACACGCGCGTTACAGTATCAGAAATGAGAATCCGAATAAGCCCAACAACTCGATGATTCGAGAGGGTCTCTGGTCTGTACGATGATTGCAATAGTGTCAGTCGAAGTCAGATAACTCTGCCCGACACATAGAGCAGATGAAGGATGAGAAACAGTGTAACATAAGACGTAACAAAATTTGCTTTCTAGGCGCCTACTAAACTCCCAATCTTGAGAAACACTTCAGGGATGCCCCAGTATTGGCGAACGACACTTATCAACAGGTACGTGTAACAGCTAATCGTATATGCTACTCCCTCAGGGTTTTTGTTGTTGATCAGAAGGTCGCTTGAGCTTTTTGTAGATTGGGGCAAAGACCCAGAGGAAAAGCGCGACGTGTGATGCTTTTCGGATTACCGTTCCCCAACGCATTGCATCATTTTCAATACGCGCACGGCGTTGCTCTGGAAGT